TTTCCGAAAGGCAATGGAAAAATCCACTTTAAATATGTTGGAATTTGATTGAAATTCATTGAAATTTATTGAAATTGAAATTTTTATTGATTAGTCAGAAACTATTACCATATATGATATTGCTCTTGCTAACACAGGAGTTGATGACAATTACAATCAATATTTGTATTGCTCTAGTTCACAGAAAATGTAATCTGAGGATGCTCCATAAAAACAGCAGATCTAAATTTGACTCTTTTTTTACTGAATAGTTGGTCAGTTGGATAGCAGTAAAGATGTAAAAGTCCATGTTTGTTGGAGGTGTTCACTAGAGGATGCTTCAACATCCATCCCACTGTTAAAGATGCATGGGAGTGTGTGAATAGTGCCTATAATAATATATGATCTAAAATTAGCATATCTATTACCATATGTAAAGCAGGCATAATTGAGCTATAATACAATCCCTTTTAATTGGAGGATGAATTAACTTTGTTTCAGCGTGTCAGTGTATCCTCTCATCAATAAAACTTCACCTCCTCTGCATTACTTTTCCTGATGGCCAGCCTAATGGAGCTCTTCTGCTGAAATAGATGCTAGCCTAATAGATGTCTTGCTATTCACCAATTTGGCTTTAATCACAAACTCTCTGGGGAATTCTGCTGACAAACTCGTCTCTGTGATAAATCCGTAAACAAACACAGTCTTGTTTGGGGGTTTGGTGCTATAGAAATACTGAACATGATGTGTTTTAACGTAAAGTGCTATTCTTTGGCCTCAATGACAAATACATCAGGGGCAGTTTAAAGAGGTCATATTGATTAGCATTTCAAATAAAAACCCATTACCAAAGAGTGCCAGCTCTACACCCACACTCTGCATGGCCTGTCCTGTATAACACATCAGATCAATGATGGTTGAGCTGTAAGCGCTGCAGCGTCTTTTATATTCTCACATTGTGAAAGCCTGTTAGTGTAGTGTGCAACTAATGGGGTTGAGGACAATGGCACACACTGCATCATGTCTATTTGTCTCTAGGAGTTGCTGTGATGGTATATTGTTGGAAATGTCTCTACACATTTGAATAGTCTATTGAATTTCTTGAATAACAGTATAAGAGCTTGTCGGATGAAAATGTTGAGCTATAGTTTCCAGTCAGATCGTGGTTCCTGCAGTTGAAATAGCTGTTTGCTAAGTGTGGTTATTTGTAAGCTGGCTGTGAACCAACCATAGTAAAAGCAGCACACTATGGTGGTTAGGTCATCCGATCAGTGTCCTCCTGAACACCTCCCTTTGGGATTTTCCAGGAACATCAAACTGAAAGCAGACCTTGAAGTGGACCCAAAGTTTGCTAGAGGGATAATGTAGCTCATATGGCCCGGGAACACTCAGTATACACCATGTGCAGCTCATGTCTCCCTTGGCTCCTTCCTCGCTCTGCCTGCTGCACACCTGAGTGGTATTAGCACTACAGCTTTCTTTCAGACACTCTCTCTGAGCTGCATGATTGTGGTGAGGTTTTCAGTTGACCTTATTAGCCTCTCCCCCTCCAGCACATATTCCGTAGCATGCTCTTTGTTAGTTTAGATCACCAATCGCCCTGTTATCGCTCCTCAGTTTTCTTTGGTGAGCTTTTGTTCTGTAAGGCCCAGCACCTTTCTATCAGCTGCTAATGTTGGTGAGCTTCCTTTTTTTTCCCGATTCCCTTGTTTTGTTCTCTGGAAGGATAAAGCTTATGGGTTCAGTTCTTGCAATTTTTGAGGCTTGCCTGATTGATGTTTCTATTTTTGAGCCTTGGTTTGATTCGTTAAGAGGCTGTGACAGGATACTTAAAATCTAACTGAATACTGTGAAGAAGCCAGCCCAAATTTTGCAGGGGCATAAATGTTTTAAACTGAGTGTCACACACGTATCATCTACTAAACTCAAAGCACATGCACAGGTTTCCCTAGGTGTCTTCTGAGCCTGAGCCAATGTAGGAAGCGTCTCAACTGGGCCAAGGAGAAGAAGGACTGGACTGTTGGCCAGCAGTCCAAGGTCCTCTTTTCTGATGAAAGTAAATTGTGCCTTTCATTCGGGTCCAAGGGTTTGGAGGAAGACGGGTGAAGAACAGAACCCAAGCTGCTTGCGGTCCAGTGTGAAATATCCACAGTCAGTCATAATTTGGGGTGCAATATCTGGTGCAGATGTTGGTAAACTCTGCCTTTTTAAATCCAAGGTCACCGCAACAGTCTACCAGAATGTTTTAGGGGACTTCATGGTTCCTTTTGCTGAGGATCTGTATGGAGAAGGAGATTTAATCTTCAAGTGGGACCTGGTCCCTGCCCATACTGCCAGAAGCACCAAAACCTGGTTTGACATCACAGTGCTTGACTGGCCAGCCAACTCGCCGGACCTAAACCCCATTGAGAAGCTATGGGGTTTTATCAAGAGGAAAATGAGGGACACCAAACCCAAAAACACAGAAGAGCAGACAGCAAGCATCAAAGAAACCTGGGCCTCCATAACTCCCAGGCAATGCAAAAGGCTGATTGCTTCAATGCCACGGCACATCAGGCAGTGATTAAGGCAAAGGGATTCCAAATTTCTTTCCTTTTTATCTGCAAAAACTGAGAAGTAAATGGTGATTTCTTCACAGCATTCTTTTTTAAATTCCTGTTTCGTGGGTTTTATGAGCTGGAATCCCAAATTATGTAAAAATTCACAAATAAATACTTGAAATAATTTAAATTGTTGGCCCTGAATCTATAATCTATGAAACTTTAACTTTTCAAATGGAATTATGGAAATAAATAAACTTTTCTATGAAATTTAATTTTTGGAAAGGGGCCTGTATGTTTATCAATAGTTCTGAACCATTACAATACGACTTTCTATGTCCTTTCTTATTTTAAGTTCTTATCATAAGACATCTCTTTCAGGTGTTTTCTGTAGCCAGGAATCATTCTTAATTCAACCATTAGCCTGACTCCTTTCATCAGAATTCTGCCCAGTGACATGATTTAAATTGGAGCCATTTATTGTGTTTGAACAGAAAAAACACTTATGCACACCCCTCTCTCCAAACACACCCTCCGATGTTAGAAGACTGCAGGATGGAGTACTGTCCACTTTGTTCTCCTGACATGTCATCAGTTCACTGTTCGCTGACGCACTTAATTATTTGTAATGAAATTTAGCTTTGGTTGTTCCGTCCCTTTAATTTTGAAAGAGTATGAGAGTCCGTCTGAGTAACCGCTGCCATTTGGACGCAGTAATCAATACTGAAAAATTACATATTGATTTTTAAAATAAATATTTTTTATTGTTGGTGTGACTGCACTTGGACTCCCCTCAGGGAGACTCATGCTGCCAATGTTTTAAAGTGTCTGTGATTTATCTGACACACTATTATTGTATGAAACGTTTCCAATTCGTTCCGCTGCAGTGGGCTGGATGTGTTTTATCAACTTTTTTTATATGGTAATAAATCAGTTTGTCACAAAACGTCACAAAAACGTTCTCACCCTCATCGAACATGATGAAGATGAAGGAATATGAAGAAATTTTTTTGACTGCAGCTTTACAGCGGGGGGGACAAAAACAGCCCTGATTGTGTTTTACTCCTCGGTTCAACAGTGTCCAGAGTTTTTTGATATCCTTTAATTCATGCAGGATCTGTTTGCAATACATCAGGTGTAATAAAGCAGGAAGATGACATAATAATAATGATGTGACAAACTGTTCTGTTCTGTCTGTTCTTACCCGTGCTGACCTGAAATGCTACGTCCAAACACAGCAGTGGAAAATCAGTACCTCTCCAGCGGGAACAGCTCTCTGCATTTAAAAGCTTTATTAGTGAGTGGAAGAAGAAGAAGAAAGAGAACAGACTGAGGAGCTGCCGGAGGAGAAAGAGCTACAAAAAGAATCAGAAGGTAAAAACAAGGAGGTGATCGGTAAGGACCGGAAAACAAATTTAAGAAGAAGAAACAGAGAGGAAGAGAGAGAGAGAAAAAAAACAAGTTTGCAGAGAGGAAAGAGAGAAGAAAAGTGAGGAAAGGTGAATCATAAGAGGAGATATTACAGATCTCAGCACCGGCTGTGTTTTCCCATTATGTTCGTCATGGTCACAGTTTGATAGATTGGTTTGATTGGATGCATGGAGAGCAGCCATTATCAGAGAGTGAATCATCATTTTAGGCATAATAAGGACTAAGCTAATTTTATGCCCAGATGATCATATTAAATAGTACTTACTGCCTGTCCCGTTTTAATAACAAGCTCGCTGTCTCTCCTCTTCAGCCAAAACACCTCACAGAAGGGTTTAGGACAGAGCTGCTCATCTCACTGGAAGTTTAAGGCTCTCTAAAATGTTTGCAAACTCTTGGTCAGGACAGGTTATCGAAAGACTGTTTCCTTTTTCAGATATATAGGTGTGCACGACTCTTGGGAAGCAGGTGTAATTCAAATATCATTACTAACGGCAACCTTACACTGGACTTCCACAGTAATTTTGCTCTAAAATCACCAACTGCAGTTTCAGAAAACACACCAGACAGCTCCGATCCGATCGGGCATTTATTCCGATTATTTGTGCCCATGTAAATGCAGCTACTGATAACACTGTGTAACTCTTGCTGGTTTAAGTTGAGGACTCCGAGTGTGTGAAGTAGAGCAATACTGACCAGGAGGTCGGTCAGAGGTTAAATCCCTGCAGTGAATCATGTCAGAGAGTCTGAGTGAATCGCTGAACTTCTGTCCTCACTTTTGAGAGACAAAAAAACCTCATCATGATTCAGGTTCTTAAGTTTAGAGGACCACTTCAATCCACCTCTTCTCCCTCTGTGTATACTGACAGCCCCCAACAGGTGCACACAGAAGCTTTGACACCCACCTAACTGAAGTAATTGCAGCCTCAGTCTGTGTGTTTGGAGATCTCAGTGACAACCAGTAGTTATGCTGCAGGAACACACGTCATTTCGCTTATAGAGGAACATTTATTTCAATGTAAGTCCAGGAAATAGCATCAGCCTGAGTCCTGATGTGGGTTTGACTCATGTAGAAACATTTATTATTTATGTTTTTGAAACTCAGGTGTCTTTTCCCAACATGTGACATGAAACACGCCTGGCACAAAGAACATCGAACACTTAGAAAAGAAATGTCACAGAAAGTTCATCACGTCCTCTGCATTTATTTCGAAAATACAGAACACTGACCTGTTCACACGTTGCCACCTGTCTGTTCATGCCAAAACAACAACACAAAGCACAGACACTTAACGAAGAAACTGATCTGTTACTCTGTGAATCCAGCAGAAACTGCCCTGAGTCTAGCCTTACATTTACAGAATCCACAGCTTTATGAGTCCCATTTGAATGCAGCATAAATATATAACTGTTGGTGATTTCACCTCTCGTTAACTCCGCTCTGATTAGATTAATTCTGACTGCATCATAAAGCTTCGGCACATTTCACAGACATTTCTGGTTAGTTGAGTTACAGGACTTTACTGGCAGTTATTTTCAGCTGTTTATGGACATTCAGTTATGTGAGTTGGCACTGAAGAACTCCAATTTTTAACTTGTTAAATAATACAGGTCCCAAAGACGAGACTAACCCCCAATTTCCACCGCATCTGGAACGGCTAAGAAAAGGTAGTATCCGCCGATCGCAGCCGTGAAAGTTTTTCAGACAGCATTTCATCTGATGAGGAGATGCTGATTCTAGGAGTCTAGAAGTGGATTTCCTCCTCTGGAAGGACACAATCTACTGCCTATATGGTTTTGTGGCTGTCTTTATAGAGACATCTCATTATCGTACGATTGCATGTGAATCTGCGGGTTCTTGTGAGTTCTTGCGATTCCCACTGTCCAAAATCCACACCAAATTCGCCTGATAAATGTATCCAGTAGGAATTGGTCGGACAGCAAAAATCACCACCGTTCCGTAGCAGAGCCGTTCTGGATGCGGTGGAAATTGAGGGTAAGAAACTGTGATAACGTCTCCTAGATGGCCTCGCAACAATCAGGACTGAGTCTAAAGTCCACCTTCTACCATGGTTTAGTCCAACATTAGAAATTTAAAGTGACTTCTTTGTGGAGTCTTGATGAAGATCCCACAAGATCACAGGGTTGTACCTGGTGTCCACAGAGTAACAGAAACCAAAGATAAAACATTGACCAAGAGGATTACCTCCACACAGCGTTATATTTGGTTTGCAAGGCTTCTGGTAGTTTTTCAACAGCTACAAATAAAGAACACTGATCTCAGAAATCACAGGAGTTCAGATGAAGTCCACCCTGCTGCTCCTATCATCTTCTCTCCTAAGCGTAGTCCAGACCTGTGCTTGAATAACACGATAACTGGCTCGTCTCTGGGGATGTTGCTCGTTCTGATTCTTCTTATCAGGAGGCCGCAGACAAAAGACCATCAATCAAAGACGAGCACGCCGGCGGTTTAGCACATAGAAACAAGCTTTCATAGCAGACATGCTCGTGTGGTACCCATGCTGGAAAAGGCTGTCCGTTCTCTCAGCCATAAACTGGTTAAATGTGAAACTGCGCTGGATGTAAACTTTTTTTGAGTTAGAAAGCAAACTGTCGAAAGATCATTTAGGTTTGTCTGGAGAGAAGCTGCCTGAGAGAAATGTGAAATTCCTTCAGCGTGTTTTTTTTCCTGCAGTTCCCTCATTGTACTTCCAAGAGGCACTTCTTGTTTTTTTTTTTTTTTTGCGAAGTTAAAGATGTAAATGATTGAGTCTCTTTAGTCCATTTGACAAACACAACTGGTTTAATCGTTCAGAGTTCTCCTAACTCATAAACCCACTTTTTTATCTTCATCTCAGTACCTCTGCAGAGAGTCCTGTGTTTGCAGGACTAAAAATCAGAGACTAACGGCATCCCACTTCACAGAGCAACTTCCTGTCTGTTGGAGTTGCCGTTGGCTGCTGCAGTAGTGATGGCGGTGGTGGGTGTGTTCTTCTTAATGGAGGTGAGGCGGATGTGGGAGGTGCTGTGCAGGTAGCTGACTTGGCGCTCGGGGCGTGGACCTCGACCACATCGCAGCTGACTGTGGAGAAGGAAGAAAGAACAAACTCAGCGCACAAGGCTTTTGAAAGACCTCAGAAGTTTGAAGGTCCTGCAGCATGGACGCCAAAATCAACGCTGGGAATGTAACAAGCAAAGTTTAAGCTATTCAGTACAAAGAGGTCCAGAGTGAGGGAGTCAATAATCTGTGAATCCAGGATGAAACCATGAAAGGGTTTGCCAAATTTTTTTTTTCAAGTTAGGTTGAAGTGTAAACTATACTCAAGGACCAATACTTAGGGTGCATCCATATCAGGACTGTTTGGTCCGTTCTCAAAGGACCATGGTCCCCCTTACTCTTTTGATCTGGGTGGTATAAATGCGCAAGCGAACTGTGGTCCCAATCAAACAAACAGACCACAGTCCTCTTGAAAATGCAGGACTCTGTCCCCTTCCAAATGAACCATGGTCCGGTCCGCGGTCCGCAGTGCTGATGCAGCCAGACTTTTTATATGTCAGTATAAACCAGTAACATATTTACAGTGTAATAAAGCTGGGAAATTATGGCTGACTGGAGGCTGCATCAGACGGAGAACAGCCAGTCAAAACACCGTAAAACTGGACAAATGGCAGAGGGTTTGTATTCTAATACAATAGTCAGGTATTAAATATTAAATACCTGGGTGTTCTTCTGTTCAACAAACACGCTGACAATGTGTTAAAGGCATTCCTTTGCATTAATGCCCAGCGTCTCCTCACCCAACCTCGCCGCCACCTCTGGTGAATTTCATAAAGCAAGACGCCCATTGCTCTCTCTGGTCGGTTACTCTCTGTGCGTTGTGGGACAATGAAGATTGTGCCCCAAATGAGCAGGTGACAGACAGGGATTTTCCCTCGTAATTTCCCTCTTTTTTTAATCATTTGGTTGGTCCCATGTGAACGCTAACCAGACCAAATGTAACGATGTAAACATTTGGTCCCTGATCCAGATCTCCTAAGCGGACTTTGGGTGAGAAAGGCCCTGAATGTCTGCACTAAATTGGAAAATGCTTATTGGTTTATAGGTTCAGGTGTAAAATGTCAGGATGAAGCTCTTCACTCTGGACACTGTAACGTAACTCAGTCATAATCAGTCTTGAGAACAAATCCTGAGACAGGTAAATCCTGGCAGGTTTCTAACGCTACAGTACTTCTATAATTGCTTCCTGAAGGCACAACTTGTTTTCCAATTTCCTGTAATGATCAGCACCAAATCTCACTCAAATGAAAGCATGAAATCCCCCTCAGGATATTGTCTCAGTGTGATGGACAATCACAGCTTCAGAGGGGATCATGTATGACCTGGCATGAAGGGGTCTAAAAAGGGTAGAAGTTGTAGAAGTTGACATTGTAGAAGTGAAAAGGAGACTTTATTGTGATTATTTCATTTTGGGGAAGAGTTTATGGATCCATTTATGTTTAAAATGAAATTACTCTCCCTAAACTTGTTTCTTACTGATAAATCTTTATTTGCTGTGACAGTGTCCTCTGCAGCGAGCCAAACAGCAGCACTGTGCCAAGTCTGAGCAGCAGAATGTCCCAGGCTCACCATTTTTTTTTTCTAGTTTTTACCCATTTTAGACAAACATATTTATTTGCACACAATCAATGAGGAAATCAGATGTTCGAGCAGCCGTACTCTGCACGTTTCTATATCTTTGATGATAGAAGCAGCTCATCTCAGGGATGCTGTACTTTCTTTTCTCCCTGCATGGTCTAAACGCACGCTTGTTTAGAGCACAAAACAATTTGCACCCAAGTGGGAAAAAACAATATACTGTCTGTCTGTTCGTTCGTTTTCTTCTGCCTCGTCCGGGTCCTGGGGGCTTCAGTTGGGAAGCCCAGACGGCCCTCACCCCGGCCACTTCCACCAGCTCCTCCCGGGGGGATTCCCAGGCGCTCCCAGGCCAGGCGAGAGATATAATCCCTCCACCTGGTCCTGGGCTGGCCATGAGATCTCCTCTAACGGGAGGCGTCCAGAAGGCATCCTAACCAGATGCCCGAGCCACCTCAGCTGACTCCTCTCGACGTGGAGGAGCAGCGGTTCTACTCTGAGCGCCTCCCGAGTGTCCGAGCTCCTTACCCTATCTCTAAGGCTGAGCCCGGCCACCCTGCGAAGGAAACCCATTTCGGCCGCTTGTATCCGCGATCTTGTTCTTTCGGTCATTACTAAGGCTGTCAAAGTTAACGCGTTATTGTCGTGTTAACTCGAGTGACTTTTATCGCCACTAATTTTTTTGACGCACGATTAAGCCTTAGCCTGGCTTGACCAAACTATACACACACTGCGTGGATATTCTTGCCGTTGTAGATGAACAGTTGGTGAGGTGTCCAGGCTATGTGAGCCTCGGGGCACTCCGTAGTTTCGCGAATCAGGAAGTAGTGCACTGACTGATACCGCGGCAGACATAAACAAATCCCTGTGAGCAGTAACTAGGATATAATGGATAAGAACACTATTTTGAACGGAGAGTTCAGCTACAAAGCCTTGCCAGATGGCTCTCTTGACAGGACAAAAGTCATTTGTGTTTCCTGCCGAGCTGAATTTAGTTACCACCAGAGTACGTCCAGTCTCAAATATGACTTGTCGGCCAAGCAAACAGCTGATGCAGAGAGCCCCGCGTCCCCCTGCCTCAAGCAAACAACGCTGAATGTGCAAGGTAAACAGATTGAGAGCTCTACTAAACGCAAACTTGAAACAGCGATCGCTAAAAGGGTGGCTACCGCTTGTCGGCCGATTAGCATTGTATAGGACGTTGGTCTGCGAAATCATACAAATCGCATCCACGAAAATCCACGATTTGTTCTCGTGTTGATTCTCATGTTGATAAAAGTATTACAATTTGAAAAAGATCGATTTAGAATGGATCAAAAATATGCGATCAATTTGCGATTAATCATGATTAATTATGATCAAAATTCGATTAATCGCGATGAAATATTTTAATTGATTGACAGCCCTAGTCATTACCCAAGTTCATGGCCATAGGTGAGAGTCGGCACGTAGATCGACCAGTAGATCGAGAGCTCGAGAGGAGACTTGAAGGGTCGGGTGCTGGACGGATTGGGCGGCGGACCAAGGTGGGGGCCTTGGCAGTCTGATCCTCGGTTGTGGAAACTGGGCTCTATCACGCATGAGCTGCATACAACTTATTCACACATATTTAACATGTATGAAGTTTCTCTGCTGCCTCAGTGATCTTTCTCTGGTGTTTTATTAGCCTTCCCTCTCTGTTTTATTTCAGTGTGATTCCTCAACTTTGACAGAAACAGGATGTGTTTGTGAGCATGCCCAAGAAGATCCACCATCATCAAAAGCAGCAGCTCGCTCAGTCGTCTCAAAGTACTGACTGTTAGGCATATTTCCCAACTGTGCATGTGCTTCAAAACAGCTTTAATTTAACATCTTTTTACAAGACAAGCTTTAATAATTCATAAATCGTGTTCTAGCATTCGTAGCATCTCCAGAGGTGCCATTGCTGGTAACGCAGGCGTTATCAGAAGTCTTGCCATCGCTGATTCTGATTGGTCAGGAGTGCCACGATAATAGTAAAGCGACAAAAATCAGATGGTGCTGAGGGTGTTTCACAGCTCAAACGCTCTGTGCTGAAAATGCAGAGTTGCATTTAGACTGAGTAGAAAATTAAAATTGCTGCCAGCGCCAAAAACAGAGCCAGTTGGAGTTGGAACAGCATGCATGCTCAGGGTGATGTCTGAAGGAGTCAAAACTAGAGAAAAGATAATTCACTTTCCAGTTTCTGGTGCATTTCCCCAATAACCTAATTCTTTTTCATTTTTTCATTACTCTTAGTGGTTTTGGCACACGATCCTTTGCACAGTGGAGCCGCAGATAGATTGGAGACAGATTGAGGGCTAAACTTTGTTAAGTTTGTCTAACTTGCGCCTTTTTGGCCTCTTTTCTGGTGTCATTCGTCTTTGTGTTCCTGGATTTCCTGTGATAGTCTGTCTTTGCACAAACCATCTGTTCCAGCAGTAGCTCCAAGACTGCAGACTGCATTTAGGTCCTATCCTTTACTTTCTATCAGAGGCATGTTTGTTCGCAGGCTTACACTGGTAATGTACGACAGCGAATTAGGGCCGCATTAAAAAAAAAAGTAAGATTTTGAGATTAAAGTTGTTAACATGCGTGAATAAAGTCATTACTAACGAGAATAAAATCATGATAAAGTAATTATGATACTTATGATAATGTGGTGCTGATGTGCCAAAAGATTAAGTATCTCCTTGTTTGAGAAACCTTTATTAAAGTACATTTTCACAAAATGCTCCATGGCTCTCATTTTAACAACTGTCATCGTAAACAGCAGGTTAGAATACAAGGACTTAATTCTCATAAGTAATTACTTTATTACGACTTTATTCTTGTTAGTAATGACTTTATTCTCATAAATTAACGACTTTAATCTCGAAATCTCTTTATTATTTTTTCTTAACGTGGCCCTAATACTCCGTTGTTGTTTTGGTTATATAGTTGAGAATATTTCAAAATAAGCGCTCCGACCTGTTGAAGTGTCTGCGGAAACTTTCGCTCAGCAGGTAGAGGGCGAAGGGGTTGACACAGGACGAGGAGAAGCTGAGGACTCTGGCCAGGAGAGTGATGACCAGGTGAGCCAGAGACAGGTCCATCTGATGGTAATGGAAGGAGCGGTACATGTAGAGCACGTGGTTCGGGAACCAGCAGAGGGCGAACAGGCCCACGAAGACCAACACGATTTTCGCCAGACGCTTCCTCGTCTCCATCTGCAGAAGGAGAGTTTAAAATACGTAAATGTACATTCAGTTACATGTACAGGGGCAGATAAAGGGCTTGATCGAGCCCCGGCACTTGGAGTAATCCACAATGAAACCTTTGTGTGCTTCTTCCTTACATTTGCATTGTGTACTGTTGATCCAATATGTAATATGACCTCCTTATCTGAATAGAGTATGACAAGGAGGGTTTATACAACTGTGACAGTCTTCTTCAGACTGAAAACATTATGTACCTGATGGTTAATTTATTCATTTTTATATGCAAAAAACACTTCAAACATTAATCAGTCATTGGAAAGACTGAAAAGTTAGTCAGACTATCTGCAGTATCTGTAATTAAGAAGAAAAATGAAATCAAGCTTGGACAGGTTCAATACTTTTATTCCCATGAGGACAATAAACAAAACGTTTCCTCTAATTTACATCAATAAGGGGTGTAAATGAGGAAAGAGACGGATGGTAGAGGAGAAAATGGACTGATTGTGTGCCGTTTAAAAAACAGGTTACCACAGAGTAACAGACGGGGGTTTGGCCCTGTCAGTCTGAATCTGAGAGGTTGTCAGAAACATCTGAAAAAGGTCAGCGGTGTCACTCCAGCGCTTCGCAAGGGTCAGTCCTCTCTGCACGTAAAGATTCAACAACACAAACACACGAATTCTAACCGTGTTTTTCAAAGTGCTCTTTAGTGTCCGGCACGTCTGACATGTCAGACCTGCTCTCTGAGTGGATGCACTCCTGATGGGAGACTGATGAATGGCTTTTCAGAAAACAAAGCAAACAAATGCTACATTGCTTTTAAATCCATCCTTAGAATAAACTAAAGCTTAAAGTGAATATAAAGAGATGTCATTAATAAAAGCTCTGAAGAGGCCAGAGAGACTTTGGTGAATCTCAGTGAATCAGATCGGTCTGAAAAAGGTTAAAATTGTGCATCAGCTCATCAAGTAACAGACCGTTTCACATGTTCTAGACTCGTTACGTCCTCTTATCTAAAGAGGAGCAGCATCACCTATATTATTATTATGAGCTCCCAGTCCAAAGCCAGCATCCCTTATAGTAGGGCTGGACGATATGGCCTCAAATTAATATCATGATATATTGAGCAGTTCACCTCGATAACGATAAATGGACGATAACTACTCCACAAGCTGCTCACCCCCTCCCAAACTAACTTGGTCTACTTCAACCGCCGCTCCAGCCACTACAACTCTTGAACCGTCCTCCATCTCCTCACCTGTCATTCCCTCTTTGCTATGGACTGGATGGGGTGGAGTCACGTCTCCGATTTAGGACTTTGTCTTGAATCAAATCAAATCAAACTTTATTTATAAAGCGCTTTTCCTACATGAATGTGACTCAAAGTGTCATCAGAATAGCCATCAGCACCAGGAGCAGAGAGCTGCTCGCAGCCACAGGACACCGACATGGGGCCAGTGGAGGGATGTGTCCGACAGCAACCTCCACCAGGAACCCCGTGGCCGGCCCCCGCGACCACAAGCAGCCACCGCTCCCGGTGCCGAGGGCTCCCTCAGAGGAAACACTGGGGGTCCTAAAAATGATAAAAGGATAGATCAAGTAAAGACTAAAATATGAATAAAACACAGGCCTAAAATAAACCTAATCTAACTAGAATAAATGAAGATAAAACAAATATCAATTAAAAGCTAAGCTAAAACGGTGGGTCTTGAGCCTGCTCTTAAAAATATGAACGTTCTCTGCGGCCCTGAGTTCTTAAAGGGACATGAGACCATAGCCTACCTACACACATTCAAACCAACTTTTATTTATTTGACACCAAATATATTGACATGAGCAGAATGACGTCGGTTACTGTCGTAAATTTCAGTATCTGTAAATTTTCAGTTTATCATCCAGCCCTACCTTCTGGTATGGGGACCATCAGAGTCCATGTCACAGGCTTTTTCAGGGAAGACCTTCATATTTCAGTAAGACAATGATAAACCACATTCTGCAGGGATTACAACAGCATGGCTCTGTAGTAGAAGAGTCCTGCTGCTAGTCCTGATTGAGACTGGATATAAAGACATGTTACTGCAAAGGCTGACACGCTGTATAAAAGTAATGAATGGCTCTAGACTTCATGCAAATAACCTCAGACTGGATGTTGAGCTGAAATATGGCCAAACTATTGTTTCTGATATAGGGATTTGATGCTGTAAAATTTCTGTGAAACCTGGTTTGACAGCAGCAGATGCTAATTTGCACACAATGAGACGATTATTCCAGCTTGGTTTGGGATTGTGTGGCTGTGGAGAATATTTGCAGGACAATATTCACAATGAACACTTGCTTAATTAATTAAAATCTGCCTAATGATGATAAGCTGGAACTTAAGAGCTCTTCATTAAGTTCAACAGCAGCCGGCGGCTTCTCACCTTGACTGACTCCTCTCTCAAAGACAGGAAAGAGTCCATTTTTAAACAATAACACAAAGTTAAGTTCTGCAGACCCCCAAGACAATGGATCAGGAGTCGCTTTGCCTCTGCTGCGGATTCCTGTTTGCTCTGATTCGCTGCCAGAGTTTGGCGTTTCTCCCAACATCCTCTTAGACGCTTGCAGCTGCAGCCACCTCTCATCCTGAGGGCTGGATTGTGTGAAATTGAGTGTGAAAAACTGCGTGTATGTGTGCATTCATCTCCAAAGGTATGTATGCATGCATATTCTTTTATGCATGTTAAATTAAGATGTACTGAACACACATTACGATTCTTAATATGTGTTTAGTACACACACCTGCAGCCACCTCCAGAGTAGCGAGTGTTTCCAGACGTCTGTAATCGAGCTCCTCATCAGCTGATGAAGATAAATGGCCTGACTTCTCCTGCAGCGCCATGAAACCCTTTCTCTGTCACAGAAGAGGACACCTGAAAAGCCACCTGGGATTTGTAGCCTGCCAGCTCTCATCAGACATGTCTGAGACGGATCGACTCCGAAGGTGAGTGTGGAGCGCTCACACGTCAAGTTGTCATTTTTCTGTTTTGCTCCAGATGTTGGAAAACTCTTGTCAGGTTTCTGGATGAAAAACAGCTTCTGTTTGGGGGATGATGAAGTTTTCTTTCAGGGTTTTGTGTGAAAGACTCCCTCCGATATTACTATGCATCAATCACACTGTTAAACCTCGCTCCGGTTCTTTTTCCTTTACTTCTCATCATTGAAAAGAAAACAAATCAAGCCGTACTGACGTCCTGACAGGGACAAGATATGAAGTTTGTGATGAAGAATTGGCTGACTAAAAATAATACACAATCTATCAAAAAAGAGGAGTGAGATGAAAACAGAAGATCAACAAGGAAGTAAATATTTGTATAACGACAAAGTCCCAATCTGTCAGCGACCAGATGGGCTTTAGACAGCGCCATAAATAAGAGTGGAAAATATACGAAAATAAAATTGACTGTCGGCCAAATCTCAGCGGTTATGAGGGCAGCTCGTCTGTTTAGGAGTTTAATGTCTCTGAAGTTGTTTACAACAAAAATGAGGCCGATAATCATCTTGATAGCATGAAAGTTAATGCATGTTCATTTACACAACTCTGCGAACTTTTTCACAAAGAAAGAAAACCGTTCATCCAGAAATAAACTCCTTCAACAAAGACTCAGACCTGGATCCATGGATTACTTCAAATCTACAAAGGCTGCTCAAGTCTTTTTTGTGATTTATCTGCTTTTGTCAGTGGAGGTATTAGATCTGTCCTCCTTCTCAGTTAAAAAAAACCTCTATCTGAAATCCTACAGATGAAATCCGGGTTCTGTTAGTGATCCAGTTTAGCATTAACCAGCTCTTTCAGGATCCTGTTGGTCCTGAGCTGGCTCTCAAAGTCGTGTTGTTCATGACCAACACCTCACATGCTCACTACTTTAGCCGAAGCGCTGGGTCCTCAAGATGTAAAAAAACCCTCTGTCAGCAGAGGTTAAAGGTTAATGTTGGAACATGGCTCTGCAAGATGGCGACCATAGACTGTATATACTATGAACAACTTGGTTCCGCCTTCCACCAGTATATGGACTTGAAGCCGAAAAGCTCTGGGCATTTCCACGTTTTTTCTCCATTTCTTAAAACCAAAATTGCGCAGTAGCGTTGTATGCGCTCCACCACTTGCGCAGTAGCATTGCACATATTCGGCGGGAGAGTCGCTGTGATGTCGCTCGGCTCAAACAGCGTATCCCCCACGGCCATAGGATGTAACAAGTGTCAATTATAGAAAACATGAACCCCCAAATAACTTTTAAAAATGGAGCTGTACAGAAAAAAAGAGGACTTGAGCAGAAACCAGTCTGACAGTAACTACATGTCAACATCGCAACTGGGGGGAGAAAAATTCATATTCTGTGTAATAAATTTTCAGAGTTTGTCCACAGCGCCATAAGGATGGCTGGAGGAGGCGGGATTTATGACCTTTTGGAGTTATCTGTTAAACTGAGTTTTTAGTGGTGCCAGACAGGAATCATAAACTCTTTTATCAAATTGCCGTCTGGAACAGGACTCCCTGAAGTGAGTCCTGTTTCAGGAGATGGGAATAAATTGTGGTGTCACTATAAGTGTGTGAAAGGAGGTTATGTCACGATGTTACCCTTCGTTGTCTGAACTAACACAAAATAATTAGCATCTTAATCAGAGTCTGTCCACTGCTAATACACAATGAAATCAAGGACATCATCTGGAGAGTCTGTCGATGTAACTGATATGAACTAGTAAAGAAGTCCTGTTCACAAAGATGCAACGGACCACCAGAACATATGATCAATTCATACACAGTATATGTGCAGACAGTATTGTTCATAAAAGAACGACTGAGGAGGTCAATGTGCTCGGATAACATGCTCGAAGAGTATCAAGAAGATTAAGTAGCTATAATAGGAAGTACCCCAAAGTTAATTCAAAATAAACACAAGACACTCACATGTATGAAAACCCCCATCCCCCCTCTTGAATGTGTTCCCTCAGTGCTTCGACTACACACTGTAGATACAAAGCCAACCAGGGATCACAATGAACCCAGACTACCCCAGAAACATGGCAACCAAACATGGATACAGAAGAAGCAATGAGAGCCGGCGTATCGACAGGGTTTACAAGTTTGCATCTCTCATCTGTGTTTTCTCATTTGAGGCCCAAACAACCTCAGAGTCAGAGACTTTATAGTGAGTTCTGGTTTTCTGAACTAGGGATGTTTGCTCTGCCTCCCCCTACTCACCTAATTTCATGAAGGTATAGAGAGGAGGAGGAGAAAATGGGGTCTGAGGGAGGTAGACCCTGAGTGAGGAGAATACAGTATTTGGGTCAAACCCATTCTTGAAGAGGGAGAAGTAAAGTAAACCTTTACCTTCAGCTCTACTTTGACTACCCTCTTTGGTCTCACCTGTTTGTTTGCCTCTGTCACTGTTTCGTCTCAGTCAGTACGTTTACATGTCACTTGAGAAAAACGAATTATTGCCTTACTCTGATTAAAACCGGACAACTGAAGTGCATTTAATCACCTTAGTCCGACTATAATCAGAGTTTGAGTTCTCTGATTGGAGTTGAAGAACTCTGATTAAGACACCCAGATAATGTGATTGGAATTTAATTTTCTCTACCATGTAACCAGCGTAGTTGGAGTATGATTGGACAATGCATGTGTGCGTGCACCATGCCCCCACAACCCCTGAGCAAAAACGCCGGAGAAGAGGAGTAGCATGCATCTCATCTGCAGAAAAAGTAGTGCGTACATCATGTACGACAAAAACAACGCTGTACGATGCCCCATCTTCTTGTTCCAAAATGCCCGGTAGCAGTTGTAGCCACTTCTGACGTCTGGCACAGACTGAAAAGAGCGGGGAGGAGGACACGTTCACATCAATAACACTATTTTCTCAGCTGCGTGTGTACGCGGACAAGGAGAGAAGTCCGATTCGGTGGGGAAAAAAAACGAATTATGAGCTTAATCCGATTAAGCTGTGCATGTAAATTCACTGACTGTTTGTGCATTGACGCTCCTCTTCCCTGAGTTCTTAAAAGGTTTTCCCATGATTCCCTATGTTGGACTTTTTTAAATATTGGGCTTTGTTAAAGTTTTGTTGAACTTTTGCATTTCTGTTTTGTTAAATGCACGACATGTTTTAAAAAGTGTGGGGAAGGCAGAGCCTGTGTAGGAGGTCTGAACCTCCGCTGGGGTTAGGCTGTACAATCAAGCACTGGTTGGACTCTTTCATGTGGAAAGCAATTTAGTGTGTTTGTGCTTTTCAGAAACATCACCACAGTTGAACATCAGACTGAATAAAAGTAATAATTGAACCTGTAAAGAGGAAACAGAGGAGTGTAGCATGAATCAGCAGCCTGTCGTAGAAACATGTAATGGACTGCATTTAGTGAGCACTTTTATTCCCTGCAAACAACCCAAAGCACTTCAGGCTACATTTTAGCTGTCACTCTTTCAATATTCTCCATTAACAGATTTGCACATTGATACAATCAGCGCCATGAATAGAAATCAGAACACTTCCATCACCCAAAATGGTCCGCAAACTCTGTATTTCTCTCCATCTGATGAGCAAAACAAAAACATTGCTCGAAACTAATAACATGCTTTTGGACATCATTTCAACATTGATGGCATTCATATAAAGAAAAATTAAAAAGTGCTTTAGATGAGGTCATGCATATATCCTTGTTATATAGAAAAAATAAAGGTCCCAGGATGGAGCCTTGTGGCACCTCACATTCAGTAAACGTATACACAGATATAGAGATAAAATACGCTGCTTCATTAACCACATAAACTCCACATCAGTCGTGATCTTAGTGATACACTCACAGCTACATCTCCAAGAACAAAATGAGTTTCAGTATCTCTGTATGTAGATGAAGCTAAAGGGATTAAACTGCAGACAAACTACAGCTGAGAACAAGTCCTAAACACCTAAAAATGGTGTCAGTTTTAAAGGATCTCTTCGCTTGTTAATGGAGAGTGGAGGCTTTTAAAGGTTCTGTGCTTCATGTGCTGATATTTGAGAGTCTGTGTGTATTAACAAGCGGATCAAAGCGTGAATAAAGACACACAAAAGCTGCACAGGATCAAAGAGAGCAGCGCTGTCTTCACCTGCTGAGACTGCAGCACCAAACACGGCGGTTAGATAAACAGCTCAACCTGTTTGAAGAGCATCTCAGGATCTTAGCAAACCCAGAAAAATTCACAAATATGCCGATTTTTGTCGGGGGGTGGGGGTTATAATAGCACCAATACTAACTAAATTTAAACAACTTCACCTTTTCTCTTATGGACAAGCTAATCTAATAAACTTTGCGATAAACAGAGAAAAACAGGCTGATAAAAGTAGTAAAAGTCAAATAAACAGATACATTTATTGAGTTTCATTGTGAAAGGAAATGAGGAGGAAATTAAAATCTCTCTCACACGCGCGCACACACACACACACACACACACACACACACACACACACACACACACACACACACACACACACACACACACAGAGCTTATTTCTACAGACTGAGAGTAGCTGAAAGCTTTTCTTTTGTGGAGGTTTCATGAATAAACATGAAGTGCTGTCTTGGTTTTAAAACAGAGGCAGAGAAACAACTGCTGCGCTCTATTTGTGTCGACTGTCACTGTACATGTTGTCGTCTGCTGTTGCTGTTTTGGTCGTGAAGTAACTGTTTATGATTGCACATTTGACTCAGTCAACCATTTAGTCTATTTTTAGGTTCATATAAGACTGTATGTTTCCCAAATTCATGCAGTTTATTAAACTGATGAATAAATATGAACCCCACTGACACAAATGCATTTTTTCTTCCCTTGAAATACATCTTAACAAGTGTGTAGCTTAAAATTGGCTCTTCAAAGGCATCTCAACATCAATACTGAAAATGGTTCTTCTTGTATTTGAACAAGAAGTGATAGTGATAAGAAAGCCAATTTATACAAATAAATTGCCAACAGATTGGACTGTTGTGAAAATGTTAATATAAACAGATTTTAACGTTTCACAAATAATATCAATATCAACACTCATACATTATTAAACTCAGCAGACCAGGTTCTGGAGTCTAAAAGTGAAATGTTGTTTTCTTGCCTGACAGAGGATTTCGGCTGCTCAACAGTTCAGGGTCAGGACTGCAGGAAGACCGGTTAATCAGCAGGACTCTTCTACTACAGAGCCATGCTGTTGTAATCCCTGCAGATTGTGGATTGTCATTGTCCTGCGGAAATATTAAGGTCCTCTAAACCTGTAGATATTGTTCAGCATTCATGGAGCCTTCACAGATGTGGTAGCTACCTATGACATGGACTCTGATGATCCCCATACCATCAAGGACACTGGATTTGGACTGGGAGCTGAAAACAAGCTGGGTGGTCCCTCTACTGTTTAGAGAGGAGGATGCAGAGTCCATGATTTCCCCTCAAAAATGTCAAAGGGAAGTCCCTGGTGTTTCTGGATCCTGTTTCTATCTGGTTTCCTCTTTTCATGGTTCAGTTTGAAGCTGCAGAGATGAACTGTGTAGTGCCGAATTGGCCTTTTGAACATTGCATGTCACTCTCCACACTCTCCTACTTTATCAGCTGTCCTGTCCCCTCGGTAAAACGGCACTGATGCACTGTATCTGAAAAATTTGGGGCACTGGATTGGCTTAGGATTCCAATTTTGCACCACATGAACAAGTTTAAGTCCACTTTCTCTCCTAAAGTCCTGAAATAAACCTGTGTCCTTTGAGACTCTCTTGTATTTCATCTACGTCTCCTCTTGTCCCTTCAAAATAAAAGCCCCAGTGCACTGATATCACCTCCTGCAGGAAAATAAATCATCATCGTCAATAACTCACGGCAGCCTCCTCCTCTGCAGACATCTTCATCAATCTCACTTTATGATCTGCACTTTTGGATTGTAAAGTAAACACCATAAATGATAAATGTTTACAGAGCAAACCTGTCCCATCAAACTGCACACTGAGGTTTTAGTTTTATTTTGGGTTTAATGATGTGGACCACGTAAATGAGCTGAACTGACTGTTTAGCTGACTGTGAGGTGTGGGATGAAGCTTCCTGGGGGCAGAGCTGCAGTTTGTTTGTTTGTTTGTTTGTGACCTTAAAGCAGCCTTCGTCCTGTAATGTCGCGTCTGGAGTTGTTTTTGTTTTGGAGCACGCTAAAAATAAGTTTGCAACTGATTTGAGTTGAGTGTGGTGACTGATAAGATGCGACAATCTGCAACACGTATTAGTGAGAGAGAAATGTGAACAGGAAGAACTGTTCAGACTGCTGCAGATACTAGACCTCATTCTGATGTGGACTGGACCCACCTGAGGGATCTTTGACTCAACTCTGGCTCCAAAAACATCACCAGGAAAAAGTTTTGGTGCTCCTCATATCGAGAATTCATCTTTATTTTCCTTTCAGTGCAAAAGTCAGATTAAAAATGACGTAATTTCCCTTTAAACCTGCTCTTGTCACTCCTTTAATACTTCATAATCTCCTCTCTCTGTCGTTTTTCTCTGATCTTTGTTGTTGTTGTTCATTTGGCTTTTATTTTCATGCTTTATTCATGTATGCGACATCACTGACCTACAGAGTCAGGGGGAAACAATTATAACATCATTTACTCAGGCGTGAGACACTAAATTGACGATAATTATATTTATTTAGAAGCCACGCACACAAAGTGCTCTACCATCAAGGGTTTACAAGACAGCGGAGATACAATAATGGTTATTATAGAGTCATTTCAGAGTTGCATGTGCCTTTTACAGTCTTAAACATTTTATCTGCCCTTTTCTCCTCGAAGACTGCAGAACAAAAACCCCTGCAGTTAAGATCTTCCTTCAAAGCACAGCTAAAGTTTGTCTTTATCATCCATCCAAAAGAAATCAGCATATTTGGGATATTCTACTGAGACATGTCTTAAGTTTTTATACATGACAAGTATCTTTTTCTCAATTTAATCAAATTCATAGAAGAAAGAAATGTCCTCTGTGGCATTTAACCTGTTTGTCTACAGATAACCATTGAGATCTTTGTCTCCAAGTGAACTTATCATGGTGCTACACCATTACTCTTCCGATCCACATGATAAGTTATGAAGTTATAAATGAGTGTTTTAGCCACAATGGATGCCAGTCATCTCAACCCTTTAATGAGAACCTTCCAGAAGAGCCGGCAAGCAAACTAGGCAACAGTTTTCTGCTGCATAAATTAGTAAAGTTGGCGAGACTCTGACCCAAACTTTCAACTTACTTAGTTTTTCAGTACTTCATAAATCCCAAGCATGGGTTGTGTAATTATGCCGTTAAAAAAAAACACAGAGATTAAACTCCTGAATGTTGAAGAAAGTCGGTAAACATTGGCACTAAGGGCCTGATCTACTAAAGGTTTGCGTTTGCAAAAACACGTGCAAACTTGATAGCGCATGCAAACCTGATATACTAACCAGGTGCACTGAGGATTGCGTCTGTCAAATGAGCAAAACAGCGCAAGAATATGCAGAATGTATGTAGATCATCAGAACGCGCAAAATTCTGGGAGGAGCAGATGCAAATTGAATCATTTAGCGACCGCAAGGTGATTTATCAAACCCGGAAACCAATTGCGGTCGCTGTTTTGCGTCTACGTTTAGCGCGTTTGAAAGGCACGTGCAAACTGGCACAGCATTTCGCACAGTCATTGTGGGGAGAAGGAGGCAGAAGTGCCATGATAGACACCATGATTCTTGTCCAAAAGCTTGTGATTGATTTCATTTTTCTGGTAAATTACGATTTTCATGAATAATAAGGTCAAAAACAGAACAGACAGAAAGAATATGTCTGTCTTATTGATTTTAAATCGTTTTAATCCCATTTTTTAATTCCATTATATCTTGCATCTGAAAAGCACTTTGCGTTGCCTTGTGTATGAATTAAGCTACACAAACATACTTCCTTTGCCTTTTATGCAGATCCCTAAAACGATATTTGCAACTCCATGGTGACAGCTGATAGCGCACACAAAATCCTTGTTTAAAGAGGGCGGCCCGCACCACTTTTGCACATCAATTGCGCACACAATGATAGTAGACTACCCGCAACACGCCCACTAATAGCACATGCAATTTTTTAGTTTGGCAAGCAATTTAGCGCTCACTATTTTGGATCTTAGTAGATCAGGCCCTGAGTGTTCAGTACAGCCGTGGACTCTAGTTGGTGATAGTTGCAGACTGCAGCCTTGTGCGAACTGCTGTATTTTAATTCCCAAAGATCCAGAGGTGATGATGGTCAAGAGCTGAATTTTTTTTCAGTAGAGCAAACACTAAAACAAAGATGAGTTTTGGGCTCAGAGTCTCTCAAAATGAGCAAAATTGCATGTCAAAGACACCTTATCTACAGAAAACTGTCACCTAGCTTGCATGTCAGCTCTCTAGACCATTTTTCTTTAAAGGGACCGAGCTGATCAACATCAAATGTGGCTAAAACCTCACTTCAAAATGACTGAAATATCCCTTTAACAGTTCGTGAATGCAGTCTGAATGACTGAGGTAAATATGCTCTAAACACGCTCTCGCTTTGTCGTCCACTAGCAAATCCATTCCCTGAAGGTGGTCAGTTCTCCTGCAGTTTACTAATAAAGAAAGAACTCTACACATTCACCTAATAAGACTCATGCTCCTTTAGTTGAGGGGTGGCCTGGGGTCATTTTTTAAAGAACAGGTCACAGTACAGTAAACACCTGCAGCAGTATTTGTTTTAATGCCGTAGCTCAGATTGATTCTCATTGCGATTCTTGTTATGATGCGTACTTCCTGCCAGCTCGGTATCTGAGTGTCCCGCTCTCTGCAGCCAAACAGCACGAACAGTGACAGCAGGTCTAGGACTGCTTCTGTCACCCACCTGCTCATGCTCATATTATGTCAAACCCACAAACTGTCAGTCAGCTGTCACTTTAAATGATGCGGGCCAAAAACCTGCTACACAGAAGCCAGAGTCCAGGATGGAGAGCTGCTTCTGCAGAGTTAAGAGGTGAAATCTCTCTGCTGAATGTGAAGGTTAATGGATTCATTAGCCGCTACAGCGTCGCTTTGATTTTGTAAAAGGTTGAAATCTCAGCGTACCAAATCTGACTCACTGATTTCACTTTCCGCCTCTGCGTCCTTCTATTTCATTTTCACGGTTTGTACCACACCACAAACCTCCTGCAGGGTAACATAAGGTTGTTAGTTTTAAATGTGGACTCAAAGTCATTAAAAATCCAGCCAGCACCACCTGCCAAGTCCGTGTCTTTAATGGCTCTGGTCCAGTTGAGTCTGAGAGTTACAGTTTTTAGTTGTTACTCTGTCCAACACCTCAACTCCCCATTTACTGTGGTTGTTAAACTGTCAATCAGCTGTTATCAATAAGACCAGCCAAGCAGTGATGACAGACCAACGAAGGAACAATGTCTTTCTCTACGACTTTACTGAAGTGGAGTCATGTTCACCAAAGTCAACGTGTCTCAAAAGTTATTCCTTTGAACAGCGCAGCAGCCATTTATTACTTTTACACTGTTAGTTCTCCAGTTTATTTAAATTATCATGATTTTTAAGTCTAATGTACTTTACTAACCAAAAAAGTTCAAATGATTTGCAGACAATCAGATTCTGTTCATCGACATTTTACACAGAGTGCCAATTTTACGATAAATTCCCTAAACTGATCTGAAAGGTCCTTGTCTGCTAAAAATACTCCATCATTTTCAGCTTCATTGTGTGTGTGTGTGTGTGTGTGTGTGTGTGTGTGTGTGTGTGTGTGTAGGAATGAACCACCCGTCAGCACGTCCTCTGCTGTGTTTTTTATCTCCCTGAACTAATGAATCAGCTCTGCTCTCGGAGAAGATAGGAGGCGTGTTCAGTATTGATGTGGGCGTCTGCAGTTAATACAGCCAATTGGCTTTCAACCTCTTTAGATGTGAAGATACGAGCGGCGTGTTTTTCCCTTTAAACGGCACTGATAGCATCTTTAAATGATACAGAGAAAGATCAGAGTAATGAGATGGATTAGAGGACACACAGGGTGAGGAAAGACACTGGACATAAAGAAAACTGCAGAGAGGGGAAGGAGGCAAGCTGACTCTCTGTTCTTTTACTGTTTAAATCTGCGCTGATGCTACAACTCCACCAATTTTAAAACACTCCTAATACTTTCAAATGAGCCATTTATTGAGGTAACCCTTTAACTGTATGTTTTATTTGTTTTTATAACGCAAATGTTAGAGCCCATCATATAATAATCCTGTGATTGACAGAAAAAAAACAACATTAATTTAATATAAACTGATCACCACTGGAGTACATAAAGATGTTTTTGCTACCTCTTTGTGTCCAGAACAATGTTAGGGGGTTAATTTACAATTTCAATGGAGCATTAAGGCCACATTAAGAAAAAAAAATGAAGACTTTGAGATTTAAGTTGTTAATTTACAAGAATAAAGTCATTTCAAATGAGAATAAAGTCATATTTAAATCATTACCTACGAGAATAAAGTCAGAATGAAGTCCTTATATTCTAACCTGTTGTTTAATATAATAGTTGTTGAAATAAAAGCCATGGAGCATTTCGTGAAAATGTACTTCAATATATGTTTCTCAAACAAGGAGATACTTAATATTTTGGCTCATCAGCACCACATTATTATAAGTATCATCATGATTTTATTACGACTTTATTCTCCTAAGTAATTACTTTATCACGACTTTATTTTCGTAAGTAATAATTTAATTACAACTTTATTCTCATAAGTAATAATTTTATTACCACTATTCCCATAAGTAATGATTTTATTATGACTTTATTCTCATAGGTAATGATTTTATTAGAACTTTAATCTCGTTTGAAATGACTTTATTCTCATAAGTAATGACTTTATTATCATGAATAATGATTTTATTACGACTTTATTCTTGTAAGTAATGATTTTATTACAACTTTATTCTCATTTGTAATGACTTTTTTCTCATAAATAATGACTTTATTCTTGTAAGTTAATGACTTTAATCTCAAAGTCTTTTTTTTTCTTCTTCCTAATGTGGCCCTAATACTCTGCGTAACTAATTAGTAACACAGGATCAACAACCTGGACTTCCTCTGCAGTCAATATAATTTATTGGAGGTCCTTCAGCTGGTAATCACGTATAAAAGGGTTGAGGTATATAGCAGCTTGGATCGAACAGATGCCATCTGAATATTACTCAGAACAAACATCCTGACCGGTGTCATCACATGAATGTATTTATTCATCCTAATAACACTGTTATGAGGCTAATATTGATATTCCGGTTTCAACTGCCTCCAGCCTTTCTCATTTACTGTTGGATGCAGGTAATAGTAACACTGAAGGAAAAGACGAGGATGTTATATCTGCTCCATTGCTTGTCAGAGAGTCTTTCACGTCTCAGTGATTGTCCACAATTCCTCTCTCTAACGGTCAGGAGATGATTCACTGTTTGTTCGTCAGCAACTCTCCATTAACCCGAGGTCTATGGAGGTTATCCTGGCTGCAGAGAGTGTCCTCAGCTCCTGAGAGACACTCCAGGCTGCAGCTCTGCTCTGAATGTCACTAAAACTACCTCCTCTTCAGTATTTATGTGTTTTACTGGGACTCCTTCGGTTAATGGGCTTAGCACAGAAAAGTAAAATAATACCAGCAACTGAAGCATGGAGACTTGGTCCTTGTTTAGTCTGGGCCTGAACTTATTTATTGATTTTCTATCTATAAATTTAGGGGTAAATTCACCAAGAGTGGGTTTCAGCTGCTTATACCACAAAAACTTGAGGATGTACACTTCAAAAAGTGCACCGCAGAAATGAAGTCCAAACACAAAAACCCGTTAAGTTTGGCAGCTCTGTGGAGTTTGCTCTTGTGATGCGTCCATTTTCAGACATGAGCTGTCAGCATCTCCAACTTCATGTTGTTTCCAATCCAACTCCATTGAGGTCAAGTTAAAACCATAATATTGGGTTATACAAGACCTCAGCTTTAAAGTTACATAAAGGCCTCTAAAACCAATACCAGGATCAGTAAAAGCGTTTTGTTTTTTTTCTGTCGAGGACAGACTGAGCATCAGTTCAGCCAGTCTGATGTGACTCTGTTGTTGAACTGGTAATGATGGAATCACTGCTGTCAAACCTCATAATAGCTCCGCTCCCTCTATAAATATCACCGTGTTGTTCCCCAGAGGTGGAGCAGTAATTCCCAGCTGTGTCGCTCAATCATTGATTGCAGACTCCTGATCTTTCCTGCCGCTGGGTGTTAAATAATTCAGCTCCTCCTGCAGCTGAGGAGTAAAGCGATCACTCTCTCAGACCGACTCACTCCCCCTCTGACCGCTCCCACATGACTGCAATATTTACTGAAACCTCTGAGGAGCTGTTAGACAGAGATGTGGTGGATCATGTTGATTTATTTCATCATATATGAATGGCACAAATGTAGGCCTGACATGCACCGTATGTAGGCCTGTCACGATAACAAATTTTGCTGGACGATAATTGTGCTACAAATTATTGCCGATAAACGATATTATTGACACCGAGCGATTAGGTGATTTATTGATTATCGCGACAGGCCTAACCGTATGGTTAAAAATCGAATGAGCCGATCATGACGTACGTATACATGCACTAAATTTTATTCAGATTAGAAGCATTTGGACATGTGCAGAGTTGTCTAATTTCACTAAAACAACCGCAGAAGAAGAGTTGTATTTATACCTGCGCTGTCAACAAACCATCAAACGTGAGGTGGCCTCAAGAGTTTTCCTCCTGTTAAATGTTGTCACTAGATGGCGCCCCTGCGTACTTATTTTACTGTTCTGTCAATCGTTGCACTGTGTGGGCAGATGTGACATCATGACGCTGTATGTCATCGGAGGAGCAGACACGGCACCTGCGGTTGTGTTTTATGTCAGAGTGTTAATAATGAAACCTCCTGTACTGACCTCAGTAAATAAGCCAAAAGCTAAAGAGTGAAGATCGAGTCAGGTAAGAGAGTCACGATCGGAATGAATGTTTACACAGACGCGCTTCGGAATAACGATCAGCATAAACTACCCCTCTTGATCAGAATACAATTTCTTTCCAATTGAGCCGAATTGGATCAGAATCTTCCGATCGACATGTTTACATGACGCATTTTTATTCCGATCAGGCGTTTATTCTGATTATTTTTGCCCATGTAAATGCAGCTTATGATGCACAACCAATCAATTCATCATCTCCTCATCATTCATTCATCAGGACTCTCTCCGTTCACCAATAGATGGCCTCACCTGTCTCTTGGTGTGTTCGCTGACCTCACCCGGCATGTCGTGGGCGCTCTTGATGAGCGTGCGGGCGATATGGTAGTAATACACCGAGATGATGGCCAGAGGGATTAGGAAGTAAACCAGAAAGATCATCACCGAGTGGATCTTTGGGTGCATCTGATTGGACAGTGGGTAGGGCACGCAGTTCACGAAGGTGACGTTTGTGTTGTCCCTGTGACCCTGAGAGGGGAGGAGACAAGGAGTTAAGGACAAAAGAGAGGCAAACGGGACAGAGAAGGATTTAAACAATGAGAGGAAGGAAGATTAGAGAAGAAGAGGAGAAGTAGAAGTTGAGGATGGAGTGCAGAAAGGAGAGCAGAGGCATAATACCACATCAGTAAAGCTCATCAAATGGACTGCAGGGTTTGATGGAAGCTGGTCTTGTTCATAAATCTGACTTTAACTCTGTTTACAGCTGTCAGGGGTGACGTTAGTGTGATGAGACGAAACTGCCCAGATCAGACTTCAACAGGACGTGATGGACGGCTTACACTCAGTCTGAATGGACACAAGGTCACAAACACACTTTGTTTTTGTCCTTTAGGAGGAGCAGTGTGATGGCTTTACACACGACTGTTAGTCCCCTGCTGCTTACCTGTAGCTGAAAATCTAAAGAACTCAATCCTTGTTTTGATCTAAAAGCTGATAAAGGCATCAGACTGAGCATCTGACTCAACAGCGAGGTTACACCAGCAGAGTAGCATCCAAGGAGGAGGGTTTCATGACCTAAAGTAACCCCACCACACAGCCTGAAAGCAGCAGACTCTTTTTTTTCAGTGTTACACACAGTGGACAGGAGCTCATGCAGATGCAGCAGCTCATAGCTCATCCACAGGTGAACTGAGGGCTCCATCAGACTAAGGATGAGGGTTTCGCTTGGAGAGATGGTGAAAGGGACGCAGATTCAGCAGCTGCTTCAATGAGGGACCTGCAGCCTGGTTACACAACAAAGCCGGTGGATGATTGGAGAGAGCATCGCATCCAGATTGACAGGAAAAATAGAAAAAAGCACCGGTCTGCAGCTCACTGAATGAAAGATTAATGGAGAGGTTTCTTGCGTTCATGCAAAGAAGCTACAGATCAAAAGACACAGGGACAGCCTGCACCTATAGAGCGCTTCTCCTCCCTTCTGGATCGACATGAACTCCACATGAACTCCTCATCTCTTGGGAACCGGAACAGCGATGAAAAGAGTCCGGGCCTCTATGGTCCGTTTAGTTTAAGGTCAGAGGAAATGTTTGATCTTCAGACTGAGAATTGTCAGAGGATTTTGTGTTGCTGCAGAGTCTATTAATTGCAGGGTTGAGTTGTTGCTGTGGTGTCATTGTTAACAATATTAGTCTTGTTGATATGTGCGCGAAGTGTGAATATGCAAAAGTTCTAATGTAGTCTATTGAATCCGTGTGGGACTTCAGAGGAAAAAAGAAATAAGCAGATCATGGACGTATAAAGAAGATGACAGATGATTGTTTTTTTACCTGTAAGGTGACGACTTGAGAGAAAATAGCTTCAGGAACAGCCAGCAGGACGGACAGCAGCCAGATAGAGACGGCCTTCAGACACGTCCAGAAGACAGCGCTGGACGTCTGGATGTCCATTGGGTTCACGATGGCTTTATACCTAATGGTGACAGAGAAAGGGAGATATATTTATTTAATACCTGATATTAAACTCCTATCAGCTGATTACCCCAAGGTTTGAAATCAAGGTTACTTCTCTGGGATCAAAACAGAAAAGTGTTTTTGTAGCACCCTAAAAAGCAGCATGTGATTTGTCGTCTTTGCGGTGTTTTCAGTTGAATGTGGGCTTCAAATGACATGCAAATGATATGCAAAACATCAAATCCTGTTTTTATCAACATGTTGCACAGCGCCCCAACTCTTGTGGAATAAGGGTTGTAAAAAAATTATAGTCCTAGAGGTGGGTCAAGCACCCAGACTGGCTCAAGCTCTAATTAGTCTGATGAAAGCTCGCACAAAGCTCGACACGGCACATTTTAACCTGAAGGGGAGGATCTGTGTCTGGATCCTGGAGGTGAGTGCTTGGACTGAGTTATGGAGGTTCGTTTATGAATACAGCATGTTTAAGGGGGAAAGGTCACTTCAGTGCAGCAGCAACAGTGACCCTCAAGCCCAAAACATACAGGATCCGCGTTGAGCGCGTTCCGTCAGCGCCACGCCTCTGCTCCGTCGGGCAGCGCTGTCTATCGCCCACAGGATGCGTGTTTAAAGCGTGGCAGCAGTGTAGTACAGTAAAGAGGAAACAACATGCTCACAACAGATTCTTTTGCCTTTCTTTAGTCTATTTCCTGCTGGTCACTATAATTCAGTGACTGTTGACCTTCTGCTGTATGTGACAAAGCAACATGATTTGACATTTGAGTGTTTTTTGCAGGTTTACTCATGTTTAGTAAAGTAAACTATGTTCCTCCATGCTGTGCTGTTACAGAGTTAGCAGCTAAAAGTCGTATTGGGGTCCACATGGATCAGAGATTGACCATCGGATTGTTCTATGTTACTGATAAATCCATAACCAGGAAGTATTTCTTATCAGTCGGGAGTCCACAGCTTGTATTTTATTTTGAAATTTACCGAATGACGTGTGCGGTTTTCTTGCCTGACATCCTGTCTACAACGATCTTCCCTGCGTAGATTGATTCGTGTTGCGAGCGTAAAGCAGAGAAAATAGACTTGGTACATATCTTTAGCAGTGCCGCGCTCGACACGCTTCTGAGACGGAGCTGCGATGCGTCCTGTGTGCGATGTTGCATTGATTAAAATGGCAACCTATTTGCTGTGTGACACGGGACGCTGACGGAACACGCTCAACACTGGTCCTGTGTGTTTTACCCCCAGTTTGCACCACATTTGGAACTGGTGCGAAAAGGTCAATTGCAGATAATCATTTCCATTCAAGTTTATCACCCACTTCACAACACCTTAATGGACCAAAGGGCCAATGGTGGTGGACGGCTCCTCTCTCTTCACTCTAGGACAGAAAGATTCAGAAGATCTTTTGTACCAACAGCCATCAGGCTTTATAAATCTTATGTAAATAATAGATAACTTTTATAGACATATTACGTGAGACAGCAGACAGTTGAATTTCCCCTCGGGGATCAATAAAGTTCTTCTTCTTCTTCTTCTTCTTCTTAATTCAAGTGAATTTCCACCGGCTTCTTTCCTTTTCACTGCGGTTTAGCGGACTCCGCAGCTGATTGCCAGAGTTCTATTTTTCCAGACGCCGCAGCATGCCACATAAATTCCAGCACAGATTAACCCATGCGGAAAAGGAAGTCAGGCACAGACACAACATAAAACATCCGGCTTCTTTTCAAAAGGAGCCACAAGAACCCGCATGGTTGCATGTGAATCCACAGGTTCTTCTGAGTTCATGCAATTCCCACTGTCCGAAATCTGCCCCTGAATTTGCCCCACAAACCCAACCTGTAGGAATTGGTCGACAGCAAAAACCGCAACCGTTCCGTAGAGGAGCCATTCCAGATGCAGAGAAAATTGGCGATTTGGCTTCAGCATCTTTAACCTGTGACCTTTGACCTCTAAGACCACCAAAACAAAAACTCATGCCTCCAGTGTTAAAAAAGAGCTGCTGAGCACCACAAGGTATCCATCATAAATCTGTGTATGAGCCGGGATTAAAATAATAAATGATGCAAATATTTTTAATGAGGATGAAGTGGAGCAGAAAAGGCTGCCACTGCACATTTCTGCATGAATAAAAGAGGAGAAACTGTTATGAAATAAGAGGACCATTTCTTTTAACGACGTCTCAGTGGAAACCGAACGTAAATCATTTTATAATCTGAGCCGTAATTTTTCTTTGGGCAGCATTAGTGACTCCAGGCTCTGTGTGAGTTAATGAGAAACTCCAGCAGCTCTTAGAAAGCTGTAGCTGCAGACTGGAGGACAAAAGTGGAAACAATAGGAGCGGTCCTGGTCTTACTTGTATTAATTATTCTTTAAGTGCAGTTCTGGAGCTGCATCCTAAATCCTCCATCAGACTGAGATGAGCGAGGATTTAGAGTCACAGTGGAATAAGTCTGTAAAAGTTAGAGATGGGCGTGTCGGAGCGACTCTGATGGAGATGCACAAAGTCTTCATGAAGCCTCGTAAAGAACAATGTAATCCACCACAGATCTGGTTTTCAGTCCTGCATTGATCAGACATTTTGTCAGCTTTGCATCGTCTTTCTGATCATATCTGTTTGACATTTTATTTTTCTTATTTTTTAATCTGTTTCTGCACATCTTCTTCTTTTTGTTCCACTTGCTGTCAAAGTACAAAATGAAAGAAAAGTCATCAGCAATTCCAGGAACTCTTCAGCGGTGAGGTTGGCATTTTCTTCTCTGGAGGATTCAAAAATTACAAATCTTCTACCGGGTCACGGGGGCAGCAGCCTAAGCAGGGGTGCCCAGACTTCCCCCTTCACTTGCCACTTTGTTCAGCTCTTCCCCGGGCACCCTGAGGTGTTCCCAGGTCAGCTGAGAGACATGTCCTGGGTCCTCCCTGTGGTCTCCTATCAGCTGGACATGCCCTGAACACCTCACTAGCAAGGCGTCCGGAAGGCATCCTGGTTAGAAGCCTAAGCCACCTCATCTGACTCCTCTCAGCAGGAGCAGCCACCCTGTGGAGGAAACTCATTTCAGCCGCTTGTACCTGCGATCTCGTTCTTTCAGTCACTACCCACATCTCGTGACCTTAGGTAAGGGTAGGAATGAAGGTTGATTGGTATATTGAGAGCTTTGACTTTGGGTTCAGCTCCCTCTTCACCACTACAGATCTGTGCAGCGTCCGCATCACTGCTGATGACGCGCCAATTAACCTGTCCACTATTATTACTCTGACATTGATTTTGTTATGAGAATCAGGGGATTAATTGGTCTGAAACCGTCAGTGACTCCATCCTCCAATCCTCTCACTGTACCATTATGCACAACTGAGTATTTATTCATTCATTTATTTATTTATTTTTTATTTTTTTATTTTTTATTTATTTATTTATTTATTATTATTATTATTTTTTATTAACAACAAAACAGAGTGACGACAACAACAGAAACAACAACAACAACAAAAAGATAAAAAATAAAAAATTTACAAAAATACTTTTGTGAGGGAGGGGAGGGGGAAGAAATTTATATAATATGTAAAAGAGAATTTAAAAAGAAAAGAAAAAAAAATCTTAATTGGATTACATTGGAATATCTCTATAATAATAATTATATGTATACATATACATACACATACAAACATACATGCACACATACATACACACATATACATATATATACATTTATATATCCCCACACACACACAATCATTTATTCATTTATTTTTCAAACAAGTCAAATTTCGCTAGTTTGCAGAGGAGATGGGATGGATAAAAACTGTGAAATTTGTCTCATTCATCATGAACACACCTCACAGTGAAAAGACAAGGACGTTCCCTCTCTGTCTGTCTGTCTCACTATAACCTGAAAGAAATTTGTCAGGATTTGCTGCGTAAATAAAAAAAAATGGAGCAAACTGCACAGAGATGGCCTGTGATGTGATTCAGTCCAAATCTGAATTTATGTCCGGTGCCTAATGTGAACTTAAAGGTACGTCAGGATGATTCATTCACTGATCAAATCCTGAACACTTATTTTATCCCTCTTCTTTCCGCTCTTCTTCTTGTGTTTTATCACACATATAGGGCCACAGCCAGGTCATACTTCATTCAGCCTGTACATCACACTCTGTCAAACACCTCTTTTACATCATGTCGCTGTATCTCACTTTTATGTCTTATAGATGTGATGCCTCATAGGTTATTTATGCCGTGCAGGAGTTAAAAGTTGAACATCTCCAGCCCAGGCCAGCGGCACATTTTCACACCTTGGGTCCAGGCTTACTCAGTCATGCAGGTGTTTCTGAGGTGGTAAGATTTGAGGGGAGGTCTGGAGCAAATGTTGCAGGAGATGACACTTGTGAGCGATGAGGGCAACAGGAGTTCATCCCATGAAGAGGCTCATGGTAACTTTTATTTCAGACATTAGGATGAAACGTCCTCTAACAGCAGTGGTAAACACAGGCGGTGATCCACAGGATAACCTTGTGAGGAAGTCCCTCAGGCTTTCGTCTCTGAAAGGATATATTTCTACCTGAGTCTCAGGGTCGGTCTCACCTGTCTGCTCTGTCAAAATTACAATTAATGGCGCTGGCCTTGTAAATAACCCACCCGTTGTTCACCTTTTTTTCTTTCCTATTTCTTTAAAGAAGGTACAGGACAGAGCGTGTAAAACGGAGGATCATGCTTTCTGATACATATGATGTGTTCATGAGCATCGCTATTTTTTATGTTGTTGTTAAAGCAGGAAAAGAAAACAACATTCAACTCAATCAGAATAACCTTCAATTTCACCTTCTCCCACATGAAACATCATTTTCTTTTCAGAAATAACATCTCAAACCCACCTTGGTTTATTTATGATCACAGACTCAGTCAGAGGATATATTCAACTCTTGCACAGCTCTGTAAAAAACCTGCATTTTGAAAAACAAATACATGTTTTTTCTGCCTTAACCAGAAAACAGGGCAGGAAACAGAGGTGTGAAAACTAAGAAAAAGAGTAGAGGCATTTGATTGGCATTTGTGTTGTGCATTTCTGTCTCCTCTTTTGCTTCAGTGAAATTTAAAACTAGAGGAAAGAAGGTGTTGAAAGATTGAGATATGCACGTGCTCTAATGAGATTCATGTTTGATTTGCATGTATGTACCCAAACACAAAGTGTGTGATGGTACATGGGGATTCAGGGGAGGGTTGTACAGCACATAATTACAGAGTAAGAACCTTGAGTATTTGTATTAAAGATTCATGTGGGAGAAGGTGCTGAAAAGCTTCTGTTTCCTTTTGAATACTCAGATTCATGAGTCCATGTGCTGGATTCAAACCTTTTCTGAGCACTAATTTATTCAAGGAAAGGTGAGACCGTCCTCCTGCTTATATTCAGCTCCCACCTGCGAGTTTCTGAGCACACACACACACACACACACACACACACACACACACACACACACACACCACTACACTAACCCACTTTTCATCCACAGAGAAGATGCCATGGTTGGATGGGACCAAAATGATCGTTTTTTATTTATTTATTTATTTTTTTGGACAGTTGTGAAATTACCGATGATCAGACTTTGCTACCAGCTGTGCTGATTGGCCAGTGAGTGAGCAGAGAGGTTCACAGACCAATCAGCATCACCAATGAAGAACCTTGAAAGAATCTAGAAGCGTCTGGAAAAAAATTAAAATATGAGAGTCGTGGAAAACATGTAACATAGTTTGAATAAAGAAACATACCCTCTTTTGTCAAGAAACCTGAATCTAAAGCGGCCAACAGACCATTTGTCATGTCTGACTCATCCGCACAACAATGGCCCATGTGACGATCAGCGCATCATATCTCTGAATCATATTCACACACGTGTCTTCATGTTCATCCTAAAGCTGAGGAGAGCAAAGACTCCTGCGCCAAGGTTGTTCCAAAGAGACCCATTTTTAAGACTTTCACTTTAACTCTACTGGAGGGGCATAAAGGTGGCATATTTAGTATTCAACCCATTGTAGTGGAGGACTTTTTTTTCCACATTTTCTAATCGTGGAAAGGCATTCAGTGGGGAAATAAGAGCTTTAACAGGGCACTATTTCAGATTACATCATCTAGAAAGGCATCCAGAAAGCACTTTTGGGGGATTTTATCTATGTGAAGGGCACCTTGAAGTTGTGATGTGTCAACAAGAAACGGTTCGTGGGTTTGGCGGTTGATTCGAAATATAACAGGCAGCGAAACACAATGAAGCCCCTCCCCCCCATAATCCATAGACTTGAGACTTGTTATGTTATACGTTGCTCCAACAAAAGCACTGGCACAAACTAAGTAGCCTAACACAAGCACATTCACATCACAACCCTCTCTATAATTTATGTCCTCTTTGTCCTCTTCCCCCTTTTGCCCCTGCTACTGTGTTGTTAAGATGGAGACCATATTAGTAATTTAGTAATTTCTGTATTGTATCACAAACTCATGACATCACATCCGTTCATTTATTCAATTCAAAGCTTCGTGCACTAAGGCCTTGGGGTGTCTCTGCCTGTTTTACATTTATTGTCCACTTGATGGCACAGTTGAGCAAATGAAGCACAATGATGAAGCTTCGGCCCAGGAGTCGAGCAATTGGATGGAAAGCCTTCATGTTTCAAGAGGCTTCATCTTGCCATCACTACCTAAGACATGAGGCCCCAGGAGGGTCACCACAACCTGAAGTCATGCTGCACCATCTTACGAGAACGATGCCAAAGCATGGGCCTACCAGGCAGCTCTGTCAGACATGATGACCCAGAAGTTGGACAGTCCAGCTTTGATAAAAAACCTGCAGCAGCTGTTATTCTGCTCTGGGTTTGCTGATGTCACATTTCTGAAGACTCACCTGCTGCTTTTTTGATGCATTGCATGTTTCATTCATCCGCTATGTGACGCAGCATGGAACTGCACTTTAGTTCTCCTTTGATACGTGAGAGCCCATTGTGTTCATGTTGCCCCTGTAGCCAACGCCATCACCTGTAACCATAGCTACCAATCTCCTTCAAACATAGGAAGTCTTTTTCGTAATGAAAGGCTTCGTTGCTAAGCTGTAATTGCAGCTCAAGATGCCGAAAAGGCTCTCAGCTTGTGGAGGATTGTCTTGATACCTTGGCCCTCTGACGTAACCCCAAAGGCCGGTGAGTCATGGATGAACCTGTGGATGCAGAAGACACATTGACCCCCTGGTGCTGCTTTGTTACGAATACTCAGGTTTTTAGACTCTGAGCCTGGACCTTAAACTACCTGAATCATTTCTCAAATTCATATGTTTCCCCTCAGGTGTTCCTAACTCTGACAAAAATGAGACAAACATGAACAGACGACCTGAAAATGTAAAGCCTGCAGACACAGTGCAGTGACATGAGGAGCTGACCTGAGATCTGCAAAAGGGTGAGCCGGGTGATGCATGTCTAAGGAAGTGAAGGGAGTCAATGTTGCTTCAAAGATCAATAAACCTTTATCTACAAGGATGCTCTCATCTCTTATTGTCTCTGTGATGGACTTTTTGTCCTGTTCTTTCACTTCTACCTCCTCTCACACTCATTCACCTTCTTTGACCTCCTTAACTTTGTTTTCATCCCTAGATTTCCTCCTCCTCCTTTCCTCATATCATCCCTCACATGCTCTCCTTTCTCTCCTCTCCTTCCTCTGACCATCCTTTTACCTCTCTGAAAAAGCCATCCAACACTATTTGTGAGGTGATTGTCAGACACAATCATGACTCCAAAAGTGATGTTTTCTTCTACTCCAGGACCCCCGCTGTCCCTGTTCTTGCGGCAGGAAGATAAAAGAAAAATCGATCTTACGAACAAAGCTGCCAAAAAAATAAAAACTTTCTTTCTTTGCTCCAGGAGTTTGATTCCTTTCGCTGCCATTTCTCTCTCAATCAAACCTCCCCACTAGGGCTACAGAGTAGTTTCTCTGCTGTTATCAGGATGGTGTGATCTTTTACTTTCCACTCTGGTTGCTCATTATATGAATGACCTCAGAGGGTTCAGCTTACAAAACTGTAACCCGAACTCGAACAAACAACATAAAATACAGCCCTCAAGTATGACTCAGCCCCCTAAACTCGTGCAAAAATGGTATTGACAAGAACTCCCACAGCCTGTTTTATTCTGACATCATGACCAAAGTGCATAATGGAGTTGTCATGGTTTCAGATTTCCACCTTAGGGTTATTGACATGTCATTGTGTGGAAGGCATTTAATTTGGTTTGCACTAAGGACAGTCTGGAGATTTGTTAGCCACCTGAGAAATAGAAAGCAAAGTTGAAGGTTTGTATTGTTTTTTTTAAAATGTACACAGTGGTGTCCCACATGGGTCCATATTAGGTCCCTTTTTATTCATTTCATACATCAACAATTAAGGAAGTAATGCTACAAATGTCAAATTTAATCATTATGCAGATGATACAATTGTATACACTTCGTCATCTGGGCTGATTGCAGTCGACTGTGTTAATATACTTTATACTTATATACTTTTATATTCAAGTGACCTCATACTCTCTGAAAATGCTGGACTCAGTGTGTTGATACCGCATTGCAATTTGTCTCTAGTCTTGGTTTTTGTACACATCACTGCGTCTTGTATGAGAAGTTCAGTTGGTCTTTTTTTCACATCAGAAGACTGGAGCATTGGGACATCTTCCTTTGTAAGGCCATAAAACATGAACTTCCTCCTTATTAATGTTGTTAAGATTTTGCATCTTAACAAAAATAATCCTGGTAAAATAAAAGGTTAGAGAAAGTGAGCGGTCCTGTTGGGCACTACTTGCCTGCCTGGGCTAGTTATGCACGGGCAACTAAAGATTCACAGCACTATGGTGTCATATCAGTCACAATTTCACAGTGTTTGGGTTGGGGTTAGGGTTAGGGTTAGGTTTGGGGTTAGCCAAGAACCTGCTGAGGGCTCACCTCCCCACCTCATTGGGTAACTGAGTATGGGGTGGCTGTGGCTCAGAGGAAGAGTCAGTCACCTCTCAATTAGAAGGTGTAAAAGTAATTTGAACAGGAGACTAGAGTAGAGCGGCCATATTCTGAATCCCCCAAAAGAGGACACGACCACGTGGGGGCGGAGTCATGGAGTCGCACTAAGTTAAGTAAGTCCACGTGACACAAACTCGAAACTTGCATTCAAAAGCCTGAAAATTTGAAGGATTTTATAAACCTCCCTTGACAAAGCTGGACAAGGCCCGACAGAGGACATGTCCGGGTAAAAGAGGACGTATGGCCACCCTAGACAAGAGGAGTGGCTATAGCAAACATAATCCATCTACCCTTTATTTATAGTCTCCAAAAATCATGGTAATGACATTAAAACTGGGTTATTTATACCTTTAATTTTGTAAAACACAAACTGTGAAGTCAGATGGGCAGTTAGATGAAACTGACTGAAGGTAGTTGAAGGTTCATCCTGTATTTATTGACTTACGTCTGAATGTTCCTGCATATTCCTACTTTCCACTCTTACTCAGGTTTACTCAGGTAATCATAAATGGAGAAAATGTGTTTTATACGAGTATTATTACACAATCAAACCTTCAGTAATCTCTCCATCCTTTTGGTTGACCCCTTAGCGGCGGTTATGTGTTTGTTGGCAGCTGGACTGGCTGTTTGTGCATCATCCTGATGGGAAATGATCGTGGCTGCAGTTCCCCTTTCCAATCATCAAGCTAATTATCCATTTGGCTCAGTGAGCTCATCAAGGACCTCCAGGCGGTTCGGGAGCCGTCGTGGACCCTTCAGTGGCCTCCAGTCTTGTTAGGAGCTAATTATAGGCCATCAGGGTCAGCTAAACTGCTAAGTCTCAGCCTGCAGACATGTGATGAGGAAATGAGTTTCCACTGAACGAGCTGATATTAGAGTGTTTGGGGTAATCATGCCGCCTGATGGTAAACAAAGAAAAAAATTATCCAACAAAGAGGAGACCCAGGGATGCCTCTGCTGCTTACAGCACAGTGCAGACATATCAAATTGAACTCCTTCATTTACAGCCATCTTCCTATTTTAATTCATGGACATTATCTTCCAAATAGAAATAAATTATGCATTTAATATTCAAATTTTGTCTTATTGGATACGTTGCCTGAATTACCCTGCCCGAGCTTACATTTGTTCTGATGGGTGAAGTTGTTGAAAAGTTGAATTTCTGCCTAAACTTTGAGATATTTCTCCTGGAAACACTGAGCTTGAACTCAGATAGTCCCTGTCAGTCCTCAGACTCGATGCTCATGCTCTGATATAAAGATGAGCAGTTGAATAATTCCAGATTTTCTCCTGCCCTCTCACTCAAATAAGCCCTATATGTGATTCTCTCAGCTCGACCTGTCCTTAAACTTCATATATTGTTTATTTGTTGACTCAGAGTCTATATCTTGTTGTACTTCTCTGAAAACTCTGCTCAGGGACTAAAAAGTCCTGCTTGTGCTTAGACTTTCTCTGCTTGTCCTCAAACACCCTGCTCTTGCACTCAAACAGCCCTTACTTGTGCTCACATTTGCCTCTGCTTGTGCTCAAACTGTTTGCCTTGAAAAGTTGATTGTAAACTCAAAATTTGTGACGTTTTCCCTGAACCCTGCTCGTGCACTCAATCTCTGCTTGTGCTTATTTTTAAACGGCGTGCTCTGGCTTAAAAATCAAACTGAGCAGCTGAATATCTGTTCAGGTTTGTTAAAGTTCACCTTTTTTTTTTTACCAAGCATGCCCTGTAGCTGTATGCCTACCACCGATATTTGCTAAAATGTCAGCACATATCTTAGGTACACTCAGATGCACTTAGTTGTTTCTGGATGTTTCTGTGCTTGTGTCACAGAAATCTGCTTTTGAATTTATTCTCTGCTTTCCAATGTTGTCGTGCATCAACCCCCTTAAACCTCTCAGCTAATAGAATATGTTTGGGGTTACATAAATAGTGTATATACTACCCCAACTCTCAGCCTGTTCTTATTGTTTGGTTTGTGTGTCATCTATATTGTTGCTGATATGCTCTGTGTATTTCATTTTTTATCATTGATGTTTGTTTTGGTTTTATGTATTGACACTAACCTGCTAATGGGACTGGGGATGGAAATTAGACACTGGGCTATAATCCCATGAATTTACATGTAAATGTTCATTAATGCATATTGTCCCGTTAAAAAAAAAATCCAAAATTCTTGTTTGAATAAAAATAAATAAATAAATAAAATAAAAGATGACATATTTATCTGAATTTGTTTTTTTAAAGGATCCTAGTGAGTGGCTAAAGTTTCAGAGTTTAACTTGATATAATCTAAAATGACTTAATTTTTCATGCCATTTTTCCATGTCATGAATTATAATTATTATAATTATTCAATACTTGATTCTTGATTCTTTTTCTTTTTCCTACAGCACAGAGGTCTATGCCAATTATTAGACTAGTCTAGTCGACGATCATTGGTTTCATTCATTACATTTTGTACAGTAAATCTTATTTCAAAAGATGGGCTACATACAAGTGATGCAATTTCCATTATTGTTGTGTAATGTATCACATTAATGGTCAAATAAAAAAAAAAAAACTATTTAACAACCTTGTTTTTAGTGAAGTGAAAACAACAAAAAACAAAATAACAACAAAAATTAGAACTCACAGAGGCTCGCAGGCTCGGCTACAATGTGCAGCATTGCTATTTGCTTCTGCTTTGCACACCTCCCGAATGTGGAGGGAGGGGATTGTCGAACCTTTCTTTGATTTCAATTGTTGACACCATAATGTAATTTTGATAGATTTCGATAAAAAAATCGAAATTGTGACACCACTAATAATTATACATAAGCTTGCATTCGTCAGAAGTTTAACCTCCCTTGTACTAATCCTGCAACACTAATACTGAACATCTGCTGCTGCAACAGAAAAGGTTCACCACCAAACCTCTAACCCTCCTGCAGTCAAAAGCCATAGGTGCTCTCTTGTTTACCCAGGGGGGGTTTCTGCACTGGGCTTCCTTTGATGCAGTAGCATGCTGCTGTCTACACCAGGGAGCATCAGACAAGCACCAAGTATGACTCTCCTTTCAGTCATGCAGGATATGGTTGCACAAAATGATGAGTGATCATGACTGAAAACCTTTAACTTCTCTCAATCAAGGGGTTATGTAACCAAACTGAACCTGAACTTGTGTCCAAATAGAAATGGTCTTAATAAAATCTGCTTTACAGTTTGGAACATCTAGCTGGAAAACTCTTAATGTGTCCTCCCAGTAGATCATTTAAATGCAAAATTAGTTAAAAACAACAATGATCTGCCTCTGCAGTGAGGTGCTTTGCAATTATTAGTTACAAATGGGATAAACTCAGACTTAAATCAAAGTGCAAACTCTAACTAAAGCATCTGCATTAATTCAAAAGTAATATACAGTACATTTATAATTCAACGTCACATCCTCTGCTGCAGCAGGATTTGATTTATTAATGGATGTAAAGTATTAGGGCTAAGAGATATTGTATTTGAGTGAAAACACTTTTTGCAACAGTTCCCAAGTGGTTTGAAACTAAGACAGGTGCACAGACAGACAACGAGCAGGTGCATAAATGTATAACCGGTTCGTGTTTCCCTTTGCTTCTTTGGGTTTGCATGTTGGAGTCATGACCTGGATTAAACCCACAGTCCCATTGCATTAACATTTACAAGACTTCACCTGTTCCAATGCGTGACACATAATGCACTGACCTTTACCTTTACTGCAGGAAACACACATTATTGCACAGATACACACACACACATACACACACAGAGAGAGGCGTAGATACAAAGTCTGTCCCCTGAGGCCTGTGCTGTCTGAATCTGAATCAGAGCAGAAGAACATCCATCAGTGTCGGGGTTTGTTTGCTTGACTTGTATCTCCTGCCTCCTGTCATATCAGATACAAACTAACAACATGTTTGAGCAAAAGCTCAGCTGAAACTTTGTTTTCTATGACAAACAACAGACTCAAAAAGTTGTCCAGATAATCGAAAATAATGGACAATAAGACTGTGTACAATTATTTTCTGACATGTTTCTGGACCAAAATCTGAATCCAGTGTCTCCAAGTCTGCCAAACATTAATCTCAGAGGTCCTCTGCTATCATCTGATCAGGTTAAAACAATCCAGCCTCCGGGAGCTGCAGCCAATTTTTCAGTCTGGTGTAGCCTGAGGTTTTTCACGTTCAGCGTATTGCTCTGATCATTTTTTACTTTTTTGACAAGAAATAATTCTGGAGCTGGAGCTGGAGCAGAGAGAGCATCCAAAGCTGTTTCACTTTAAGAAAAGAGACTTATAAAATCCTAAATTAACATCAGAATGGGTCTTAGAATAACATCATGACCATACAGTCTGCATCTTTTGCACTTACAAGTCCTGTTTACATGCAAATACGTGATAATTGAGACTAAATGATTAGTAAGCCAACCTACTGTGATGCACTTGTTGATCCTATACAATAAATAGAGTGTATGATTAAGAACAAGATAAAGTACAATTACTTATTGAACTTCTGGAATTAATTCTAGGTTAAAAATGTAACCATTTGACAGCCCTAGTTATATTATATATGGTTTGATTCATTGCAAGCTGCTTCCTTTTATTTATCACGCTTTTCTGCAAGTTTGTTTTAATACAAATGACCTGAAGCTGCTGCCTGATAAAATGGCCCTCATCTTTTCCTGTTATTATCATTAAGATTGATCCTCAGATCTATCCTTTTCCTCTACCATTCAAACACCTTTAGGATCCAACCCTGTGAGTCTCCCCTTTCATTAAGTCCAGGTGATCTCAGTGGGTTTTAACACCTGATGCTGACAGCAGTCTGCAGGGAGACTCTGTTATAGAGGCGTTCGCTTGTTGCCACATCATTAAATAAAACTGCCGACTGCTGCAGTTTATGACCCTGCACATCATTTTCTCCCAACACTGCTAACAAATCATGAACCAGGCTTCTCTCTGCACCCAGTAAATATCCTGTCCTCACAGAACTAATAAGTGCTGAACAAATCAGCTCTATCCAAGCCAGGCGACAAAGAGCTTTACATGAACATTTAAAACTCAACATTTACATAAACATATAAATGTTTGAATCATAGACGAATAAAAGTGGTGCAGTTTCAAATGTCTGATCAGGAAGATGCAGGACTGAAATAACAAGAAAGCAATTTAATTTTTACATTCCCTACAGCTGTCTGCTGTCTCCATTACACCTGCACTCTGAACTCTGTCTTACAGGAGCTACATTAACTCACACTCAATCACACCTATAAACAGAGGTGGGCGCTAAAAACAAAGCGTCACTGAGTCTCTTTATTGTAATTAGTCAAGATGCTGAGAGGGTTCTGTGTTCAGAGGGCCCAAGTGAGTTTGGAGCAAAGGCCATCTCACATCCTATAAACATGCCCAACAGCAGTCAGCCACAAGACCAGCAAGTCAGCAGCCAGCCTAAAAACCAGCCTGGTGACACCCAAACTCAACATACATCTGCCAACAGCCAGCCTAAAGACAAGCCAAACGGCTCTGAAATGAAACACAAGTCCCAGGAGTGGGTCTCAGAACAAGCCAAAGTCAGGACCAGGTCAGCAGCCAGCCGCATGACCAGCCCACTGTTGGCTAAGACCAGGACTGACTCATCAGCAACCAATACAAAGACCAGCCTGTCAGCAGTCAGCCAAATGACATGTCCATCATCAGCCGGCTGCAGGACGACCTCTTTCCTCCTGCTCTTCTCCCTGCTCCCCTCTCTCTCCACCTGCTCCTTTTCCTGCTCCCCTCTCTCTTCCTCCTGCTCCACTCCCTACTCTCCTCTCTTCTCCTCCTGCTCCTCTCCCTGCTCTCCTCTCTTCTCCTCCTGCCTTCTCCTGCTCCCCTCTCTCTTCCTCCTGCTCCTCTCCCTGCTCTCCCCTCTCTCCACCTGCTCCTTTTCCTGCTCTCCTCTCCTCCTCCTGCTCCACTCCCTGCTCTCCTCTCTCTCCACTTGCTCCTTTTCCTGCTCTCCTCTCCTCTCTCCTGCTCCTCTCCCTGTTGTCCACTCTCCTCTTCCTGCTCATCTACCTGCTCCTTTCTCTCCACCTGCCTCCTCAGACACCTAAACTTTGTTGCACATCGACAGCGGTTTGAGGGGGAAGGGCTGAACACTTGCTCTCTTTTAAGGAGAAAAGGGAGGGTGTCCTTCGTTTGCATTACATGAGTGCGACACAGTAGGCAGCACAATATCTTTTAGTCTCTATTGTTGTATTGTGATGATTGTGAAAAGCTATAATCATAATTGAAAATGAAGTCTGAATAATCTCCCAGCTCTGACATTCATAAAAACACCCTGAGCTCAGCAGACCCTATAAAAACCTGAACACTGAGGGTTAGAGTCACTTCTGTATGCCTCTTGTTCATTTCCAGTTTCTTCTCTCTCTATCCACAGTCTCTCACAGTCTCTCCCCCTCCAGCTCCTCTGCACCCACTCTCTCTCTCTCTCCTCCGCGCAGTGGACCGGAGTCAAAATGCAGCAGGTTCGAAGCGGCAGTGAACCTCCCTCACACTCAGAGCTCATCATTCAGAGTCAGAAGACTGTCATTCAGACGCTGAGTCTCAGCTTCCCTCAGCTCGTCAGTGTGACCCTGACAGACGCTGAACGCGCCGCCCTCTGAACAGACGGGATGATTCAGAGAATATTCTCATTCAGCTCAGCAGGGACACGTGTTGAGTTTATTCATTTACCTCTAATTTGACTTTGATTTAACATGAAATCCACCAAAACTGACGGGTTGAGCCTCCTACCAGCTGCAGGGTGTTGTTCAAAGAAACAATATATGAGATTTCATCCTACACACACTCAACTCCTTAAACTTGATGTTACAGCCGAGCATTTCCAGGACGGATTCCTCTGCAGATGTTTACTGAACTGTTCTTCTCCAGTAAAAGAAGCTCTTCCTCATTATGACAGATATCAGAAAACTGACATTTTAACCTCCAGAGGAGTGATGTGGAGGCTCCGTAACGTCTCTCAGGGTTTAATCTGGTTTGCAAACAGGGAGATTAAATCAGATTTCACCTCAGCGACCCTAAGGGAGGTCGCACTGTCAGCTCAGGTTTACATCTAAAACCAGAAGCGGAATCTGACATTTTCCTCCTCCTCCTCCTCCTCTCTTCTTCTGTTTCCAGACAGAAATGACCTGGAGCAGAGAGGAGCTACAGCAGCATCAGAAGCAGCATCAGCGTGGTTTATCTGAGGAGAGCCTGTTGAACGAGGCTGAGGGGGAAATATTTCACACAGAGTTAAGCTGATAATTGCTTATTAAAGCAGCATTTCATGCATCATCAGTGTTTCATTGGCGTGGAATGATGAGGTGATCATCGGACATAAACACAGGAAATAACATCTTTCACACTGCCTGGAGTGGAAATAGATATCTCACTCTGAGATATCAACCTGGTGATGTTCAAGAGTCTGTCAAAGATCTGGTCTGTCTTAGAAGTACTGCAGGTACATTTAACAAGAGTACAATCCATATACTCTAGATAGTTTTTGCTTTTATTTGTTCCGCTCATGGCCATTTTAGTGATCCCACATAAATCCTAAAACCTCCTTAATCAGGAGACCAAGCAGTGCAACAAAAAAATGATAACTGAAGAGCCTTACTCCAATTTATTTCTATTTTTATGTCTTACTAATGTTACATCACGATCCTGAATGATTGCATTTAATGGTTGTCAAGGAGAACCAATAGCTGCTGAGATGTGAAGCCTAGTCCTTGTTCACTGAAGTGGATCTCAATTAGAGGTGCCCTCTAAGAGCATCGGATGATTGAGTTCTTGAAGCTCATGAACCAAGTCTAGGTGATATGTCTCTGGGCAAAACCATCTTTGGTAAACCTTCAGCTTTTGAGGTTGAAAACTTCTGGAGAAAAACTTTGATCCCTGAAAATCAGGTTGATCCCGAGCCCAGTGGAGGGCTTGAAAAAATGCAAAGAAATGAAAGTTTTCCTCCAAATATAACACATAAAAGAGCGTCAACATCAAACCTAAAATTTTCACTCAAATGTAGCCATTAGGGTCTTTTAATTTGTGTGGATTTGGCGCCCCCTATGCACAGAGTATGTTGTATGTAGTCCTATTGAGGTAATCTAGATTTGGTCAATTATAAAAATCTGAATCTGGGTCAGGTTAATCCAATTCTTTTGTTAAAACCAGACTAAACTAACCTGGATTGTGTTAAAAAGTTGGTTTCCTACTCTGGCTGGTTTTTATCAGCTTGGTCCAGAATCTTTCTGGATACAGGTCCTTGTGGGAGCACACAGACACTGAAAAGTTAAACTAAACCAATGTGCCTCTTCAGTGTTTGCTGAGACTCAGTCAGTGAGTTGTTGGCGTCGCCACATCCTGAGTCAGCCTCTGAGCATAAATTAAAAAGCCGTTCTGCTGTGAGAGCTGGCAAAGCGCCATCCCTGCCTCACCTGACAGAGGGTGACATCAGAGGATTTACCGCCACCTGTCGCCTCTCTCTGAGTCTGGGTCAAACCTCATCGTGTAGTTTAATATTTATTGAAGGTTCACACTGAAACGTTTATAAAGTTCACTTCAGGATCTGGAATCAGATCTGGTGTTCGTCCAATAGCTCATCCCTCTACAGCTGGACTGACGCTGCAGTCTCCGACACTTATCCTGATAACCCTTGATTGAATGATAAAGCAAAGTTAAACCAGATCAGCTCTCCTCCCTGCACAGACCGTGAAGTAGCATTTCCTCTGTGTTTGCTGCAGAAATCCTTCAGATTTGTTTTTTAAAGAGACGCAGCAGATTTAATAAGATTCTTAAAGAGGCGTCATTTAGGGCCGTACAGCGGTGCGTTGATAAACTTTGACCAGCTAATCATTAAAAAAAATATAAAAATAGAGAGAAATTATAACTTCTGTTAAAAAACACTAAACTTACAGAGTGAAACTCTTTTTAGTTCAAAGTCACCAGATTCAGGTCCGATTATATGATGATCTGGAGGATCTAAGAGACCATATGATACAATATGAAGCAATCTTATATCTTACACGTACAACATGATATGATAAACAGTATTACGATGCATTACGATAAGTTATGTAACAACATTATATGTAACAATACGATATGTTACAATACAATTAGGTAACATATGACACTAAATGTTATGTAATTATAAGTTATGTTGCAACAGGTTGCGTTACTTTATTTACCAATAACCATGTTATGAAAATTTATGTTACGATATGTTAATTTATGGTAGGTATGTTATGATATGTTAAAATATGATACCATGTGATACAGCACAATATGAGATTATGTGCACAGCACATCATCTTGTATCTTTAGATTAGATTGGATACAACTTCAGTTATCTTTTTGAGAAGGTTACCTCAAGGAAATTAAAAGCATGTAACACATCGTATAATATATAGTGTAACACTTACCGACATGAAACAATCTGATGCCGTCCAATCAGATATGAAGTTCAATACCGACCTATGTTGTGTAATACAATGCTATATAAAAAGATGATTCGGTATGATACAACACAATCAGACAGGGTGTGGTTAAATAGAATTCTTTGCAGTCTGATGAGGTTGGGTGTGCTCTGATGCGGTACTATAGGACAGTAGCTCTGATGTGGTACTATAGCACCATAGACTGTATATACTATGGACAACTTGGTTCCGCCTCCCGCCTGTAAACGGATTTGAAGCCAAAAAGGTCTCAGTATTTCTGGGATTTTTCTTCATTTCCTGAAACCAGCGCTGCGCAGTAGCGATGCACGCATTCGGCCGCGCAGTCGCCGAGAGTCACTGTGATGACGCTCGGCTCAAACAGCGTATCCCCCCGGGTGAGCTACGCAATCCCTGAACGCCAATAGGCTGTATCAGGTGTCAATCATAGAAAACATGAACCCCCTAATAACTTTTAAAAATGGAGCTTCACAGAAAAAAGAGGACTTGAGCACAAACCAGTCTTACAATAACTACATGTCAACATCGCAAGCAGGGGGAAGAAAAATGTATGTTCTGTGTAATAAATTTCTAAAGTTTGTCCACAGCTCCATAAGCTTTGCTGGCGGAGGCAGGATTTATGACCTATACTGCAGCCCATCAACAGAGGGCGCTGTTCTCGGAGTGGCTTCACCCAGCAAGGAGGCAGACTCTGTCCATTCTATATACAGTCTATGTATAGGACCCAATAGGATATGATACACAATGACGCATTAAAATCTGATTTAATAGGATACAGTAAAATGGGGTTTGATATGATAAGATGAAGTTCAACACAATCTGACACAGAATGATACGATAAGATACGATAGGATACAATACAATACGATACGATTGTCCCTTTGGAGAAATTTGTCTCGGGCTGCAAATACTGCACTTGTCAACTGTATCTGCAATTGTACCAATTGATAAAACCAATGCATAAAATCATGTTAACAACTCATAATTACTTTTATGCCAACAGGGAACTCATACCAAGGAGACCAGAAAAGAAGCAGTGCATGTTGCAAAGGGTAAAGCATTATGTAGATAAAAGCCAAAAGGAAGCATCATCAAAGAAAGCAACCTCTGAGAGCTACAGTCAAATGTTTTGTGCTACAGGTCCTATATGTAATCAAGCTAGTATCTAAGGAGTGAGAACAGAGGTGGAGTTGAGAAACAACGTCAAGTAAATGATAGTTAGCTGCACCTGTATGTAGATCTCTGAATCAAGACATCAATTAAAAGTTTCTCCATTTTCTCCCTCTCTCTTCGCTCCTCCTCCTCTTCATTCACACACAGATTACTGCCCCATACTAATCAGCGCAGAATCTCACCCTGTGAGCAGATAAAATCATGCTGCAAAGAAGATACCACACTCCAGAGACTCCTAATCTGCACTCATAACCAGGCATTTCATAATCCCAGCGTGATGGAGGCTCCGTGAAAATCCAGCGTTTTACACCTGCTAAGTGATGGAAGGCTGCATAGAGGACCAGGAACAGATGTACAATCAAACTGGTTACGGATCAATCAGCCAATCACACTGCAGCAAATGCCAACAAAAGCACCAATCACAGCTCTTCATCTTGTCAGAGTGACTTATTCAAAGATCATTTCATGGTTTCTGTTGAAAAGTGTTTAAGCATCAAATATCAGTAAATCGGAAAAATCTGAAAGAACTGCTGAGGGTTAGGAGGAGGAGGAGATGTGAAGATGCTGCTCATACATCTCACTCCAAATCCAAAAAGGCAGCACATTTAATCAACCAACAAAGCCACTCAGATGCATCCAGGTACGGCAATAAAACCTAAAATAATCAAACAGATAACAGAGTCTGGGGAGCTGTTTAGTTGATTCTGATGCTAATGTAAAAAAAGAAAACAGTCCATGGTTGCTGAGTGGAAATAAAGAGAATTCTGGTAATACACCAACTTCAATCTCTTATCATGCCAACTTATTATTAACTTATCTTGTTACATGAAGACTTAATTATCATAATACAATAAATATAATCATGTATCATAACATGTTATTTGTTTCTTTAAAGAGACCCTAATTATCTGTCTGAGAAGGGGAGATAATGAAGGTGGATCATTTCAGTCATATTCATAAACTTCTACAAAGTTTCCTGGAGTTAGCACAAAGCTAACTGAAAACCTTTAGAATAACAGTCAGCATTATATCAGACACCGGTATGAGTTTTATCTGAAGTCATAAATGTTTATAATAAATTGACCATTTAAATATAATCTTAGAAACAGCAACAGTGAGATCCGTAGTGAGGTGTAAATGTTGACTGGGATTCACTTCACATAGGTACTAACACAAGAGGGGCTTACACTGTTTAGCTTACTGCTAAGTTTACTGAAATGTGTGAAATTTTAGGATTGTTGGAAAACAAAGCAACAGAAAAAAAAGACTAAAACATTGCCTACTTTTTTGTAATGTGTGAATATTCAGTTTTAGCTCGTACAGAACTAGCTAAGCTAGTATTCAGCGCTAGTTTAGACTTTATCGCTGTTGGAAGACACACTGTGCAGATGGAGTAACATTTCTCTCTCACCATGTGTTTGATAACCAACTGATGCAATAACTGTTGTTGAGACCCCCAAACAGTTTAATGTGGATGTCTAAGACAGCCGTTATGTTATTACATAGCTGACAGGGTCTGCTACGGGGATCCTATGTTAGTGTGAGCGCTGCTCAGACAGGAAATCTAGAGCCTTGGCAGGTGACAATCCAGATCATTCACCATGTCATCTTCTCTTTTTTCCTTCATAAAACATTTCAACAAAAAGAAAACAAGGCGGCAGAGTGCCATTCAGTTAACTCTTGACTGCTAAGACTCTTAAGTACACCACATCAAGACACAACAGACAAACACATAACTCTCATATTTACATGTGGGCTTTTTATAACATCTCCCCTGATTCACAAAACAGTAACTCCATTTGTAATTCAACCACATAATTAATTTCTAACTTCACTCTCTACACTTAAACGTTTTTTTCCCCTGAAATCTATTATTAAAAAAGAAAAAGTCCATCCTCTTCTTTCTTTGTCTCTGGCTTTAAAACTCTTATCCACATTTTTCTGCAATATGACATGAAATTCAAAGTTGTTTTAATTGTATGAACTTGATAAAAGAGTCTGAATGTGTCCTAAAAGTTTGTACTTCAGAAATGAATTTTATCCCATTTGTTTAATTTTTATCCAAAATTGTGTAAAGCCACTTAAAGTCGCTTTCTAAGTTCTGGAGGTTCACGATGCTCAGTATGAATGTGTCAAAGACTATGAATGAGAAATGCAAAATGAAGAAAGTGAATATGGGTCAGAGAAGCTTTAGAGTTTTTGTTTAAAGGGGGTAAAAATATGGGAAACCAAGACGTGCAGGAGAAAGAGGCGGAGAGACTGATCACCTGTCCGCGCTGAGCGCCGTGAGCGTGAACACCGATACGCCGACCGAGGTGAGCTGAATGACGGGGATGAGTTTGCACGCCGCCTCACCAAACACCCACTCCTCAGAGAAGTACCGGAAAGCGTCCACGGGCATGCACGTGACCAGCAGCAGCAGATCCCCAACAGCCAGGCTAGAGATGAAGATGTTGGGCACGCTCCTCATAGCGCTGTTGGTTATGAAGATCTTCACCAGCGTGATGTTCCCCAGCAGACCCACTGTGATAATCACGATGTACACCGAGGTCATGACGCAGCGCACCACAAAGTGCACCGTTTCCCCGCCGTCCGAGGACGCCCACCAGCCTGGCTCCTCGGTGGCGTTGGGGTTCATAGCCTCTGGGTCCTCGGGCAGACCCTGAGGGAAAGAGGAGAGGAACTCGTCGTCCATTTCTACGGGTAGAGGAGCGGGAATATCCACAGAAGTGCGGGGCAAAGGGAGCTGCGCTGACGAGAGCGCAACGAAGTGATCCGCGCGTAAAGACGCAAAGACAGCGAGGATCTTACTCCGAGAAAGAAACTTTATCTCACATCCACTGACTCTGGCAGAAAAGTGATCATCCTTTCATCCGACTGAAGGTCTAACTCAATGAATGAGCGACTGAGAGAGAGAGAGAGAGAGAGAGAGAGAGAGAGAGAGAGAGAGAGAGAGAGAGAGAGAGGACTGACGCGCGTAAGGAGAGAAAGACACGCTGACAATGGGGACTCTCTCTCTCTCTCTCTCTCTCTCTCTCTCTCTCTCTCTCTCTCTCTCTCTCTCGCTCTCTCTCTCTCTCTCCAAGGACTGAAAAAAGCAGTAAAATGTCAGAGGAAGTCTTTTGACAAAACTCTTCATATTATCATACATATACAGATATAAGATTAGTAGCCCTACATACATTGATCAAAAATTGATTTTAATGGTCTGAAAGTCGTTTTTTTTTATTTTGGAAATGGTACAAAAAATTTAACTGTAGTTCAGCAGTTTCAGAATTATGTTCCTGAGAGTCGAATATGAAAGAATGAGATGATTTCATCATTTACAGTACATAATATCATTAAAAGATTCAGAGAATCTAGAGAAATATCTCTACAAAAGAGACAAGAGCCAAAACCAAGATTGGAAGATTCTGATCTTCAGGTCCTTAGGCAGCACTACATTAAAAGCAAACAGGACTCAGTGGTGGAAATTGTGGCTCTGAAGTAGAGAAGTTCTGCTGCTAAACTGGTCTGCCTGCGGTTCTGACTCATCACCCATTAAAAATACTCAGAGCATTATGGCACAAATACAGGACAAAGGAGACCCTGAACTGTTAAGCAGTTGAAATCAAGCAAGAAAACTGAAATGTTGTTGTTGCACCATTTTCAATCAAATATTGACTTTAAAGGATTTGCAAACCATCGAAATCTGTTTTACTCCAGACAAGATAGATACATAGATAGATAAATAGATGTCCACATACTGTTGGAGGTGGAAGAAGATGAGACAGAGAAAGAGATGGAAGAGAAGATTGGTGGGACTCTATGAACGACAAGATAATGAAAGAGAGAGCCACTGGTAGAGAAAAAGATGGAGTGAGATAGCGCTTGAGAGAGGAGGCTGAGAGCTGCTGTACATTCAATGAGTGCTGGCAAAACGGTTTGAAATTTTTCATATTGCATTCAATTATTAGCACATGTGTGTATGTGGGAGTGCGGGAGAGAGAGGTAGGAGGTTTTGGTGGGTTCATTTTTATTCATAACATCAGCTTTAAATAGCCTCTCACTGATTGCACACTAGAATCAAATCTGGCTTCATCCATCTGGGGTAAATATTCAATCATTTCTCATATGTGCCAAGCTTTTGATTGAAATCAGTCTGTGTAGGATGAAAAATTATATAATGATATTTGTTAAATATCAAACATCAGAGCTGAAGTCTTGTTCTCGTGACCACTAGGACCCTCATCAACCACAGACGGTGGTTTGAATGATCCCACTCATGTCAATCTCCCTGATTTTTCAACAGTTTAAGAGTCTTCAGCTCAAGTTCTCTCTCATCTAAACAATGCAGCTGTCAGTCTGCATCCATGTTTGTTTTGATTCATGAATGAGTGACACTTGACTGATTTGCTGTCCCCTCAAATTCATACTGAGTTTGGTGGTTTCATCTCTACTCTGTGCTGCAGAACTTTGTCAACCTCTCCACAGGATCTTTAACCTGAGTCTACAGCTGGGGCGGATACCTACTCTGGGGAAAATGTCCTGCTGACCTCAATGACTACAGACCAGTGGCCCTCACTTCACACATCATGAAAACCCTGGAGCGGCTGAGTTACGCCTACTGAGGTCTGAGGTTCTTCGACTTTTCAAGTGCATTCAACACCATCCAACCCACCATACTCAAAGACAAGCTCACAGAGATGGGAGTGGATCCTGCCTGTGTTTCCTGGATCGCAGATTACCTGACAGGAAGGCCGCAGTTTGTCAGGCTGGGGAACTGTGTTTCTGGGACATTAATGAGCAGTACAGGGGCTCCACAAGGGACAGTCCTGGCGCCATTCCTGTTGTACACGTCAGACTTCAAATACAGTACTGAGTCCTGCCACATCCAGAAATACTCAGATGACACCGCTATTGTGGCATGTCTCAAAAATGGACAAGAAGCTGAATACAGGGATCTGATAAGAGCCTTCAGTAACAGGAGTCACAAAAACTGCCTCCTCCTCAACACCTCAAAGACAAAGGAGATGGTCATAGACTCTCTTCGATGTCCACTCCACAGAAGAGGGGGTTTGGATCTAAGTGGTGACATCATATAAATACCTAGGTGTACATCTGGATAATAAGTTGGACTGGTCTAAGAATATAGACGTCATCTACAGAAAGGGGCAGAGCTGCCTCTTTTGCCTGAGAAGACTCCGATCAATAGACATCTGTAGTAAGATGCTGCAGATGTTTTATCAGTCTGTGGTGGCAAGTGTGCTGTTCTATGCTGTGGTCTGCTGGGGAGGAAGCATCAAACACAAAGATGCAAGACGTCTTAACAAACTAGTGAAAAAAGCTGGCTCTGTGGTAGGACTCAAGCTGGACTCAGTGGAGGATGTGGTGGAGAGATCTACACTGAGGAAGGTGGAGTCTATTCTACAGAACATGGATGACCCACTTCACAACACCTTAATGGACCAAAGGGCCAATGGTGGTGGACGGCTCCTCTCTCTTCTCTGCAGGACAGAAAGATTCAGAAAATCTTTTGTACCAACAGCCATCAGGCTTTATAACTCTTATGTAAATAATAGATAACTTTTAGAGACATATTTTGTGAGACAAAAGACAATTGAATTCCCCTTTGGGGATCAATAAAGTTCTTATATCTTATATCTTCTTCTTATGCTTGAAGTCTAAAGATCATGATAGTCAACTTCGGAGGCTCTCATGGAGCTCAACCTCTGGCAATACTTCAACACACCTTATATGTTATGAAATACCAATAACACGTGTTATTTTAGCATTCAGCCATCGTACTTCACTTCACTGTTCACCTAATTCATGATCTTGGATAAATCAGATATTATCTATGGATAACTTTGGCAGCTTTGTTGAAGATCACTGGTTAACAGTAACAAATGAAATGGTACAATGTGCTCAATTATGGTAAAATCCACTCACTCGTGAGTTTTTCAGCAATAAACACTGTGTGTTCCCGTAACATTGAGGGGCGTTTTGTCATCCCACAGAGGATCGGCGTATCTCCAGAGACTGTTTATATCCAATACCTGAAACACAAAGTTAATCAAATCCACTTGAATTGATGGGAGAATCCATAAAGAATTGGACTGCTATGTATCATTGATGATGGCACTGGTATCAATAACATCTTATCAATTTCCATCCCTACTTTGATTGATTGATTGTTTATTTCGTATGAATGACAAAACATATAGATACGAAAAGGATAGGTAAGAAGTCAAGGCTTATAAGGAACCTACCCCCTTGCCACTGTGACACTTACAATCAATCAAGGTGAAGAAACAACCTCAAAAACAATACCGTAAGATAATACAAAGACAATTTGAGACATGATTAGATAGGTGAGCAAACACGATTGAGTGGAACAGATCACACAGCATAAATGGGTTGCTGTACATCAATTGTACCTAATAACATAAAGGAAAAAGAAAACAAAACAAAAACAATACAAAACATAAAAAAATAATTGTAAAATAAATATCCCTAAACATTAATGACTAATCATTTCTCTATTTCTATGTGGACAATAAATGTTTCTATTCAACAAACAGCTCAGCCTTTCATTACATTTAAGACAATGACAAACCACATTCTGTTGTTTATTCCCAGAGCCAGAGCAGCTCCTAAACTGTCCCTTATACAAGTCCCAAAACCAGCCCCTCTTGCTTTTATTATTGCACTCTTGCGTCCATCACTGTGGCATTTTTGCACTGTTTTTGCACTTAATCTCTACTGCTGTCTTTGCACACTCTGTTTTTTGTTATGGTGCAGTTGCCCTTATCCTTGCACATTTGCACAGACTAGACTACCTCTGCTGTCACTATTCAGTTTTGATTTATTCTTGTCATTTTTTAATTATCCTGTTGTTTTTATGTATCTTTGTCTGTTTTTTTGTTTTGTTTGTTTGTTTGTTTGTTTGTTTTTTCCCTTTTATGTTGCACTGATGGAGTATCAATTTCATTGGAGTCGGTGCAATAAAGATATTATTTTCTTGTGTGGGATTTCAGAGTCTTATTAGTTGTTGTAACACTTATCAAAAGCCAAGTATATGGTAATCAACCCATTTAACCCACCCAATTTGTGGCCAAATTTTTCTCAGTGTTTGTATAAACATACTGTGGTGTGAAGAAGTATGTGCTCCCTTCCTGATTTCTTATTTTTTTTGCATGTTTGTCACACTTAAATGTTTCAGATCATCAAACAAATTTAAATATTAGTCAAAGACAAAAACAGGACAATGATCCAAAACACACCAACAAGACCACCTCTGAATGGCTGTTGAAAAATAAAATGATGACTTTGGAACTGCCGAGTCAAAGTCCTGACCTGAAAAAGGCTGTTCACGCTCGAAAACCCTCCAATGTGGCTGAATTACAACAATTCTGGAAAGATGAGTGGGACAAAATTCCTCCACAACACTGTAAAGGGGCGTTCAGACCAAACGCGACGTCGGCGACGTCGGCGACGGCTCCCAATGCAAAGTCTATGGACAGCCGCGACCTGACGCGACTTGGCGACCGCCGGCTGCCTGCGACGTGACCTGAAGCACGTCGCCGAGGTCGCGTCGCCGAGGTCGCAGGACGCCAAGTCGCGTCGCTCCCAAAGTTCAAATATTTGAACTTTGGGAGCGACTATCCGCAACCCCGTACCGCGACAGCCAATCAGGGCTCTGCTTACGTCAACAAACCGGCGAAACAAGGAAGAGGAGAAGAAGAATCACAATGGAGGAGCAGTTAATCACATCCGTTAGCTACCACCCGGTGCTATACAACGTGGGTTGCGGGCTGTACCAGGACCGCAACGCCAAAGAAGAAGCATGGGGGAAGGTGGCCCGTGATGTCGGGCTTTCTGGTAAGCTTGTTTGTTTATTTATTTATTTCAGTGAGCGGACTGTTTTATGAAAACATAGCTAACTGCCCCTGCTTGCTAGGCTACATGTTTCAACGTATGTGTGTGTGTCTTTGCAGTGGATGTGTGCCGCAAGCGGTGGAAGGGGCTTAGGGACGTTTATATGAGGGACAGACAGATAGACAGGCGTTCCGAAGCTGAGATGGAGCGCCTGTATTTCGTGTCCAGGCGGGAGATGCTGCTTCCCACCCGGGCGAGGAGTCGACACACGGAAATACCGCTGGAAGCGGCTGTCGTCCAGGTGGAGTTCCTGGAGCAAGCGGTGAAAGTCACCCAGCTCCGTCCTTCTCCGGATGGTTTCATGCACCCATAAACGCCGGCGGCGTCTACTGCGGATGTACAGATATGCGGCAGCACCGAGGACAATGAACTGAAAACTGAGCTAGTGACGTTCTCATGGATGACGTCACCGGCGACCAGCCACGACCTGCGACTGCAGCTTTGGACCCGGTGTGAACACACCAGAGCACCCCGCGACGTGACCGACCAAAGGCGACCAGGTCGCGTCGCGTTTGGTCTGAACGCCCCTTTAAAGAAGGCAGTGACTTATTGCAAGTTATTGCAAACACTTGATTACAGTTGTTGCTGCTAAGGGTGGCCCAACCAGTTATTAGGATTTAGGGAGCGATGACTTTTTCACACATGTCCATGTAGCTTTGATTTTTTTTTCTCCTTCAATAATAAAAACCTTCATTTAAAAACTGCATTTTGTGTTCACTTGTATTGTCTTTGACTAATATTTAAATTTGTTTTAAGATCTGAAACATTTAAATGTGACAAAAACCTATCATACCAACCATAACTTGGATTAATACACCAATAGACAAGACTTGTGTCTACATTCTAAGGTTTAAATGGGGTTTCTAGGTGAAAGTATGCCAGAGAAGAAGCTGTTTGAAAACTCCAATGATCTTTTTTTCTTTTCTTTTGTGGCTCATCCCATTGACTTCAATGCAAAATTTTTCTGCAGTTTGTCTGACCGCCCTCGAGCTGTAGGACTATTGTCAATCAAGATTTGTCCGGAGGAGGATTAAGAAAATATCCACAGTATAACAAAAGTGCCTCATGCTTTGCTAATTATATAAATTGACTTGATTTGAAAATGTTTTGATTTAAATTTGAAAAAAAAAAAATGGAATGATTTATGTCTCATGACATCACTGTTATGATGTCATCAAAGCAGTGATGACATCACAGTGATGTCATCACTGCTTTCATCTGAAAAAAGGGATTAGAACACAACCTCCAACATTTACTCTCAAGTCCAGCCATCAGAGCGAGACATACAGAGACATACAGAGACATACAGAGACTCACAGAGACACACAGTGAACCGCAGTGAACTACAGCGTCCACAAATTACACCATGTCCATGTACCTCATGTCCAGAAATTGCATTCTGCCCACAATGAGTACGAGCCAGAAGAAGGATGCCAGAAAAGGCAGAAACAAGAAGAAGAACGTGGCCACCGTACCCATTGTGAAGCCTTCTGCTGACCCTTATGCAAACCTGGTGCCAGCAGATTTGTACGACCTGGATAATTCAGAAGACGAGTTTGAAAGGAAAGAAGCAATGATGATGCGCCAGGCTCTCAAAGAAGAGGCCCGCAGACAAGCAATGAGGGAGCAGACCACATTTGTTGGAAAAGCCCAGGAGGAAAAAACAGAGGCATTTCCACCTTTGAGCCACCAGAAGACCTCAAATTTTCAAGAGATAACCAAACAGGTGGATTGTCAGCCAGCCTCCAAAACAGGGTCTCCTCCACAGCAGGAGGAACCCTTAAGACAAACTGGGCCAGGACAAAAAGAAGGCAGTGTCCAAAGCTTTAGCCAGGCACTCACCCAGATCCCTGAGCCTAAATGGACCAGAATCAAGAGACATGTAGGCCCAGGACAAAAAGAAGGCAGTGTCAAAGGTTTTAGCCAGGCACTCACCCAGATCCCTGAGCCTAAATGTCTCAGAATCAAGGGTAAGGTTGAAGTGGTGAGCAGACAGGAAGGAGAAAGGGCAGCCTTACTTCATGAAGTGGAGCTTCTGAAAAAGCAGCTCAGAACCCAGGAAGAGAAGGCGGATTCTGAAAAGGCTCAACTGCTTGCTGAGGTTTCAAACCAGCAGCAGTCAGCAAAGGAAGCAGTCCTGGAAATGGAAAAATTGAAGGAGGACTGTGAAAAAGAAAGGCAAAAGCGGAGAGAGATGGAAGAACAGTTGGCCAGGCAGACAGACATGAATTCCACACTGCAGGCTGATATGTCCCATGCCATCAAGGACATGCAGGCCCAGATAGAGCAAGCAAGATCAGATTTTCTGTCTTACAAAGAGGAATGTGTCAGATTGAGGGCTGCACAAGAGCAGAGTGAAGAAAACCATAGAATCCAGAAGCAGCAGTGGGAGCAAGAAAAATCCTCTCTTCTCTCACACAAAGAGGAATCGGACAGATTAAAGGCTGCACTAGAGCAGGTCCAAGAAGACCATGAGATCCAGAGGCAGCAATGGGAGCAAGAGAAATCATCTCTTCTCTCATACAAAAAGGAATCGGACGGATTAAAGGCTGCTCTAGAGCAGGCCCAAGAAGACCAGAGGTGCCAACAGGAGAAGGAGAGACAGCTTTTCCTTACTGGGCACCAACAACTGGATCAGCTTAAACACCAGTGGGAGGAGCATAAGATTCGTG